CTGTAATAGAGTCCACTATCAACGAGCAGAGTCTTAATGTGTGCGGTTGGGTGTGCAGGGGAGGTCAGCAGAGAGGGTCAAGGTATCATAAGCATAAGAGCATAGAATAATTCCATAGAATAGGTCAAGTAGATGGACGTCTCCTGCGCCTCCGTGTCTGTCCTCGGTTATGCGCCAACGATGGTTCATCTGTCTGTGGATCTGAGTAGACATCGGTATTCGGTGCTACGAAGCGGTCGTCGCCGGACTTGGTGAATGCGCCTGTTTTCGCAATGAAGCGGGAGAGTGCTTTGATACCCGAAGGCGTACCCAGGATGTCGCCTACCGTGGGTTGCGAGATGGGCGAGACAGATGCTAGGATATTGCGGTGGGTGTCGTACCGGGGGCATTCCAGGAGGATGTGTTGACGCGTTTGGAGTCCGGATCCGCATGGGCAAGCTGGATCCTCTGTCGGGACGAAGCGGGCGTAGTATTCACCCACAAAGGCATGGCCGGTGCGACATTGGGTGACCAGACCGTAGACCCGACGATTAGTTATTCGTAGGAAGTGTTCCTGAGGTCTGAGTTTCGGGGCGAAGCGATCGGCCACGGCGAAATCCCGGCGTCGTCCATCAACTCCTTGAGTCCTTTGCCAAATTTCGGTCCAGGCGCGAAGGGCCGTTTCCTTCGCGGAGCGCCGCATGTATGAGTAGGTGGGTATGGTGTCAGGGACGAACCGAGAAGCAGCTGCCTTCGCCAGACAGTCCGCTGCTTCGTTACCTTGAATCCCACGGTGGCCAGGCGTCCAGCGGATGGTGACTTTGTTGCGCTCGTCTGCTTCCAAATATTCAGTAATGGCTCGACAAAAAAGTATGGACCACCTTTGGCTCGGGTGTGGCCCTATATCTGTAATGGAGGACACTGCCGAGGAGTTGTCGGTACAGAAGACTAAGTGATGTATAGTCACTGGCTGACACATCGCAAACGGCACCGCCAGAACCGCGGCCCTAGCAAGGCCTTCCATTTCAGCATCGAATACTTCAGCCTGCTCACCCAGCGGAAACTCCTTCTGTGCGACTACCGCATCCTGAACGTACATGACGACGCCCGCCCCTGTCCGATGTCTCCCGTTCTCGCCATCGACCTGGGACCCATCAGAATAGATGGCCATGACGTCTCGCAATGTCCATGACATGATCAGTGTTGGGAGCAGGTTTGCCGACTATGCTTGGATGATACAATCGAAGACCGGTACCGGTCTCGTAGCTACTTAGTCAGTTTCGCTTTGAAGGGGAACACTCAACACTACCTGCGACAGAAATCCATATCATGTAGAAAACGAGCGAGTAGTACTTTGTAAGACCCTAACCTCTCACTGTCAGGACGCACCTCATGTTCCTTGATATTCCGTCCGCAGCATTAAGCCTAGTCAGAGCAATGCGTCATGCCTGCCGTGGGTCTAGCATATACGCCATGTAACGATAGATGCTTGAGAGGATTTCGACTGCTTGATCATACGTGAACATGAACGTGCCAGGGAAGGCTCGATTATCGTAATCCACGCCACGCAAAGAGATCCCAGACGTGTCCAACAATGTTATGATTGAGATATACATATAAAACGCCTCTCCTGTGTGTATCAATGACATCGACTCAAGATGATGTCAATCGAGCAGGTTTGCACCCTTGCTGACGCCGTGATCGGGGGTTTATCGGTTGATGAACGGACGTCAGTTAACCAATTGCATTTGTAACGTGCATGAGAAAGGGTAGTACATGTAGCCATATGGTGCATAATCCGAATCCCCCAAAAGTGAATAAGTTATTTAGAAGATGCGAACGAATAACGTTAACTCCTCTGCCAAGAAGAGAGTATGAATACGATGAAAGGCAACAACCTTATGTCGCTGCTGGATTCCCGGCGTAGGAACAGATCGTTTGTCCCGCGCTGCAGATCATGTGAGATGGAGGAGCTCTCGCCTCGGTGGTGCCAGAATGCAGATAGCAGCGAGGGTGCCGAAGAGGAAGCCCGTCACTGCTGAAGAGGCCGTGACGGCGAAGGAGCTGTGGCTGTCTGTCGAATCCTGCCTTGACAGCGCCGGCGCTGAAGGTTTCACAGACACAGCATGGGCACCTGGTGAGGTATCGACGGTGCTCAGCGCGGAGAAATGTTGCACTTCCGGCGGGAATGGCAACGCTTGATCAAGCGCGTCCAATGCCGGCGCTGCCGATTCCTCGGCCTCAACCTGGATATCAGGCTTGACATCCGCACCGTATTCCGACCCGACCTGCGTCGAGGCGCAGTCATGGTCCCTGGCCAGCCATTCCAAATCATCGACGATACTCTGCAGCCTCGCCACCTCTGCGATGACCTTCGCTCGCCTAGCCTCCCGGATCTCCTCGCTGACGACGCATACCATGGATCGTATCAGACCCGGTATTTCAGCATGATCCCGCAGCCAAAATTGCCCACCCCAGGACGCGATAACGAGGGCGAGCTGATAGACCATCTCTATGCTTGGATCCAGGTCCTCCAAGACTCCCTTGTGGAACCGCGTGCGCAGGAGACGCACGGCAAGCCGGATAGAGCCTGCCGTCGTATCCCTTAGTCGACATTCAGGGTTCATTCGCAGGAAGTTCTCGGACATTTGTTTGCAGAAATGGCGGTATGTGGACTTCTTCTGAGTGTATTCCCATGTTAGCCGCGAGAGCGCGCTGATGTCCTTATTGAGGGACGTGTCGGGAACGGGTCGGAGGAAATAGGAAGGGAGAGAGTCGAGTATGGATACCAAGGGTATTGAGGAGAGCACAGCACTGCCAGGAATGTATCCGTAGACCAGCACATCTTGTGACTCGGTCGCGAACCGGTAGAATTTCCAATGGTCACTGTGTCGCCTGTAGTGAAATGTAAGCCTACGCTTTCTCAGTTCTGCTAGGGAGACTACTTACTCTTTCGCCGATCCATTTCTCAGAAGCTCGATGGCGGTCACTGCTCGGCCGACCAGGGCCCTAGCATCGATGACCGCGATATGGACATCATGCTTGACGTTGAGCTTGTATCGTCTGCATGCCTCCCACACCGCCCAGGCAAAGCTGAACGAAGTCGATACAAACGGCGATGTCGACTTCGTTGTCCAGTCCAGATGCCTGACGGCGTCAGCATACGTCGCCGCAAAGATACTCTCCTTCACGGACCGCGATCGAGGTAATAGGTTGAGATCGGGGATCGACTGGTCATCTTCACCTTGGAAGGACTCCCCGAGGAAGTAGGCGTCCGTCGCATCGAAGAACGGCCCTAGCGGTCGTGGTGTGTACACCCGGAAGAGGAACGGGTTCTGCTCGACCAGCTTCTCAAACGACAGCTCTGGGCCGAACCCGTACTGCGGCAACAGATTGGACTGCTGCTGGTCCTGCTGTGAGTCCTTTGCATTGGATGCCATCTCGAGGGCGACTGAGGACGTGCAGACGATAGAGGTGCAGGCCCTGAGAAGGTCGTCTCGGCGTGCTTTTCAAAGGCGGCATGGACACCTCGTGTCCTGAGTGCGTACCTCGCCCTTGACTAAGGTGTCGGACTGGGTTTCCATCGGATGCCCACGGAAGTTAATATTGGCCTCATGTCCGATACACAGATGGCCTTGAGATATGTAGCATTCCAGAAGGCACCACGGTTGGTCTTCTTACTCTATGTTAAGGATCCGTCATCCGGTAATGGTAATTGAGGCACAGATTGGCCAAATTAACGGATCGCGAGGTACCTCCGAAATACACTGATGATTGCGGGTCCCCAGAACGTCTATCCAATAGAACACGAGTAGTTGGGGCTGTGTATAGAACGCCTGCCATTAATTTCTCGGTGCCCTTGGGGATTAAGAGGAGGCCTCATCCTGGCTCCGGAACGCTCCCGATTGCAGCCTCGTGTATCCTCGTGTCCTGCAGCCCGGTCGCTCCCGTGAACATTAGGTTGTCCGAACACGATACGAATGGTCCCGAGCCTGTAGTCCCGTTGAATCGCCGTGTATCTGTCTCAAGGTCGGACTAGTATCAATGTAAGGTCATAACGGGTGCAAGCATGGCTACGGTGCGCAACGTTGGGCGGATAACGCAGAACCAGTATTGCCGGATGGTCCAGTTGGGTTCCTGATTGAGGTCAGCGCCCTTCGGAGAGACCAAAGTCATTATACTGGGGATCGAAGGAGGCAGACTGCCGGCGACCAAGGTACCTGCGTTGAGGACGGCGATTCGAATTCCAGGAAACTGCGGAAAATCATATTTGGGTGTATTTGTTTGTGGCTAATCTCCGCCACAAGCCTCACTTGCACGCACGAAGGATAATAACGAGGAGGTATTGGGACTCCAAGCAAGGCTGACGTTGTTAATATCGACCAGAGTAGATCAGGTCAGCCCAGGTAACATCAGGTGCCTAGACTGATAATTCATTCTACCCAACTACAACAGCGACCCCATTGGACTGCACAGCATCATTCTTTCGCGCCTTCAACAACGTCGTCCCGGCATCTCCGAAGAAGACTTGCGCTGCTCCGTTTCCGTCAGAGACGCCGAGCTGCGTGCCAGAGCTAGCGTCCACGACCGCTGCCCCCGCTACCGGAGATCCCGTCATTCCGTCAATGACATCGAACGAGGCGGTCGTCTCAGGGTTTACGATCTTGGGGCCCGACAACTCTAGGAAATACTTTTTGTTGAAGGCATCGAAGGCGATGAGGATATGGTCCCCAAATGCCACTTGTTGCTGGCATCCACCCACAGGGGTGTACTGATAATTCAGCAGGATACCCCAATATTGAGTGCTAGTTTGGGTAGTGTTGGCGATGCTGGTGATGAAGAAGTCGTCGTATTGAGCCCAATATGTCCTGAGGAGCCGTCCGTAAATCGTGCCATATACACCGCAGCACAGGTTGCACCCACGCGTCCCACGGAAATTCAGCAACTTTCGAAGCATCATCGAGCGCGCTGGTGCACGTCGGCCCAGGGGTGGGATTAGCACCTAGATTTGTCCCATCACAGTGGTGCGTTCCCCCGGAAGGCGTCGTCACGTTGTGCCCTGACGTGAAGATCGGGGCCTCGTAGATAGTATGATTGTTCGCGCTTTCAATGCGTAGGCTGACAGTGGTGCTGTTAACATAGGCGGGCTTGGGGGCAAAGAAGGGGGCGGACGCGCGAGCAGGGAACATAATTGCGAAGTTCATGGAGGCGAGGAACGCATAGAGAAGCCTGTGCATCGTGAGTTACGTAGGTCAAAGGTAAAGGTCGAAAGCACGAATACGAGGGGAAAACGGGGATCCTTTTGATGCTTCAGAGCGAACTCTTATCGACCCTTTGTCAGGCTTGACGAACACGTCCAGTGAAGTTCCGGGCGGAATGATTGACATTCATTCCTGTGGTACTTGCAAGTCGCCAGACAGAAGACAGTTCGCAAAGACGACTTCACCCAGGCACAAGGTTGTGTCAACAACACATCGAGCCTGAGAGGGCGTCTCAAGTGAATAAGACGGAGTTCACGATCGTCGAGAATATGTCTGGAATTTGTAAAAGAAGAATATGAACAGTCGTATTGATCGTGCCTTAGTTACGGAATAAGCAGAAGTGACCAGATTCAGCGGAGGCTTGGTCAACTGAAGTAAATACAGAATCTCGGTCGATTCGCATTGCAGGGATGGAGACGACTCTGAATGTACCGTCCAAGTGCTTCCCCTGGTAGCTCCAACATAGACAATGATACGTTCCTGCTTCGTTGAGTGGAGGAATAGTGTAGCGGAGATGAGACCGATGTTTCTGGAGGTTATGATCCCGAAAGAATGGAGACCGGCCTTGGTTCTCTTGATTTAAGTTTGCATGGGCAGACCTGACTTAGAGCCACAACAGGCCGGACTAAGGAGAGCATGTTTGACGACGACGCTGACTAGGGCAAGAACGATGCAAGGTGAAGGCTTGAGACGAGGCGAAGTCTCCTATTTAAGGTACTCGAGTATGACTACATTGTCATATTCCCACGGTAAGCACTGTAACTTACACGGGCGCGTTATCGGACCTCCGCAGTGCTCAAGTCCTGTCTCGTCCGGAACTGCGTCTCACGTAGTGTCCAATAATCGATCCTAATTCACGAGTTCTATCTGTGGCGAGCTCGCCTGTTCATTGACGATGGCGCACCAATCGCCTATGATAGCGATTCCGAAGAAGAGTACGGATGAAGTCGATTGGACGACACCCATACGGAACATCATCGCGCAGTCGTACGGCGAGAGCCCCGACAACTATGCGGCGGAGTGCGCTGCATTGCAGCGGTGTAGACAGGATGCTGTTCGTGGTGCAGGGAGTGACCTCACAGGTGCGTCGTGTACTCTCTTGGAGAAATACGGGAGGCATTCTGAAGGTATGTGGTAGCTCGGGACTTGCTATACAAGTACTTCGGCCAGCTGGAGCTGCTCGAGCTCCGCTTCTCCGAAATACGCGTTAACTTTCCCTGGAGAGACGCCTTCACGAACAAACTAACCGTGCAGACCTCCATCGCGTACGAGAAGGCATCCATCATCTTCCAGATTGCCGCCACGCACTCTGCCATCGCAGCGTCGCAGAATAGATCGGACCCGGAAGGACTGAAACGCTCCTTCCACTACTTCAGAACATGCGCAGGGATGCTCACGTATATTAACGACAACTTTCTGCACGCGCCATCCACCGACTTGAGTCGCGACGTCATCAAGTTCCTTGTCAACATCATTCTGGCGCAGGCGACCGAAGTGTTCTTCGAGAAGTGTCGGGATGAGAAGAAGGGAAACGCATTGATATCGAAGATTGCGTCTCAAGCGTCGTTCATGTATTCATCGCTTGCGGAAGAAGTGAAAGAGTTCATGGGGAAGGGAATATTTGATCGGAATTGGGTTACACTTATCCAGGTGCGCACTGGCATTATCGCGTGGAACCCAACTAAACGACCCACAGATCAAGTCCAAGTACTTCACCTCGATTATGCAATACTACCGTGGTCTAGCAGATCACGCTGCTGGAAAGCACGGCGACGCCTTAGTTCGGTTCACAGTAGCCGAGACTAATGCCAAAGAGGCACAACGCCTTGCCTCTACATTCGACTCCGTCTTCGTTACCCAGATGTCCCCTACCTTACCTCCCGACGCCGGACCCTCTATTCGCGATCTCACCAAAGCGCACTACGCAGTGTGTGTTGATCGTAAAGCCGAAGCGCAGCGGGATAATGACCTAATCTACAACGCCGTACTCCCGACCCCAGAGGCCCTCCCTGCCATCGACAAGACTGCGGTCGCGACGCCAATCCCAATCCAGGACGTCTACTCGACCCCAGACGTGCAGAAAGTGATTGGACCGGACCTGTTCATCAAGCTCATCCCGTTGAGCGTGCACGAGAGCGCGAGCGTGTACTCGGAGGAGAAGGCGAAGCTCGTGCGCGCGGAAGTCGAGAACGCCGAAAGCGCGGAGGTGGAGGTGCGCAGCGCGCTAGAGGCACTCGGCGTGAAGGAGGGGCTCGCGCGGTACAGGGCGATCGTGGAGGGCGGCGTGGGCGGAGAGGAGGAAATTCCCGTGGAAGTGCGCCGGTGGCGCGAGGACATCGGGGTGATGGAGGACCGTGAACCTGTAGAGGGCCTTATGGCTGATCTGACCAGGATGAAGGAGGCTGTAGCCAGAGAGCTCGAAGCGGCGTCACGGGACTTGGAGATCGAGTCGAAGGATTGCGAGATGATGCGGGTGAAGTACGAGCATTTATGGACCCAGGAACCCTCCGCTAGTTTGACTAGGGCATTGAGGGCCGATTTGAAGTCTCACTTCGAGGCCTTACAGGCTGCGGCGTCATCCGATCAGCAAGTGGTGGCCCTTTGGGAGGCCGTGCGGAACGACATTCTGCTGCTTCTATCACCTGAGGTCGAAGATGTCTTCAGGGCCAGTACTGAGGGAAGCGGAAGGGAGAATCTGCTTGACTTAGACATCGGGAGTGAGGGCCAGGACGACGATGAACGGGCGAAAATTGGACAGTTCGTGGAGGAGATCGACGAACGACTTGGTCGCCTGAACAAGATAAGTCGAGAACGCAACGAGGTCCTCAAAGACCTCAAAGAGAAGGTCAGTCACCATGTCTGGTGCAGATTTAACCATCATACCTCATGACTACTGCAGGTGCAAACGGATGATGTCTCACATTTGCTCCTGGTCAACCGGCGAAACGCAGGTGTTGAGCCTACCCTGTTTGCAGTGGAGCTCGAGAAGTTCCGACCCTTCCAGCAACGCCTTGCAGCCACCGTTCATGCACAGGAGGTCACCGTGCAGGAGATTAATCACCTGTGGAAAGGATTGAGAGACCTAGCTGGACGTGGTCCTGGCGCTCGCAAGTGGGAAGAGCGAGAGAAGAGGAAGAAGGATACGGTCAAGCGGTTCTCTCGTGCGCGTGATATATACATGGAAGCCCGGGACGGTCTAGCGTCAGTGCCAGCTTGCTTTCCCATCCTAATTGCGAAAATGTGCTGATCTTCTCTTCCGTGGTTGACAGCAAGGGACTCCAGTTCTACCGAGAGCTCACAGAGCTGGCCAATCAGCTCAAGCGCAACGTTAGCGAATTTATTTCAAGTCGCGCGGCAGAGAGGGAAAGGTTGGCCGGACAGCTGGAAGCCCAGAAACGTCTGTCTTCGCCCACTGGGGCTGGCTTGGCACCTTCGCTATTGGACAAACCTCCTCGCCCACCACCGCCGCCATCTTCAAGTCTCAACGCATCGTTTGCTGCTATGAGCATAAACAAGAACGGGCCTACCTCCCCACCACCGCCTCCGTCCAGGGTACCGTGGGACGGCCCAACAAGCCTTCCTCCGCCTCCGAATCAGTATTCAAACGGTGTATCACAGCTGCCCCCGTCGTCCCACTACAGCTCTCCCCCTCCTATGCCCCCTTCACCAGCTGGGGCGTCTCCATACCCCCCGCCGCCCCCTTCTGCGCCGCCACAATCCCAGCCGAGCTATGCATCGCCCCCACAGTCTCAGCCGAGCTACCCACCACCTCCCCAAGATCCCTATGCGGGACTCAGTATGTTCTCTTCACAATTCTCCACATCGCCAACTCCTCCTCCGCCGCCACCACGCCAGAATCAACCACCGTACGGTGCTCAACAATACCCTCCGTCACAATCGTATCAGTCAGCACCACAACAACCGTTTCAACAACAGCACTACCCGTCCCCACAGCCTCCTCAGCCCCCCTACGGCCAACCCCAGCAGCCTTATCAATACCAGCAGCCGCCATTAAATCGAACGTCCCTTCCTCCTCCGCCTCCTCCAGTTTCGTACCAGTCGCAATACAATGCACCTTCCGCACTTTATCAAGGCGGTGTTCCGGGATCTCAGCCACCATATGGACAATACCCGCAGAATTATGGGCGCTGACGGACTGATCATCTGTAGAGAATTCAGTATTTTGTCGGTCTAAGGTACCCTTTTCCTGCTGGTAAAGTATAACTCCTTGTATTCGGTTCACCCACCTCTGCCAGCTGCTCGCGCGACAAGCCATGAAATCAGCTACATTATTGAACTATGGATTGTACTGTCGAGTACTGCTCCTTAGAATTAATATGGAGTGGATTGACAACAGAGGATATTACAGTGCTTCGCATATTGGTTTAGACAGCCCCGTCACGGTTCCCACAGCCAAATAGTGACCCGTCACCGATGTCAAACTTGTAAGGGCAAGTGATACTCGACGTATGAATGCCCGATGTCAAGCTTAATATTCTTTCAAAAGCCTCAGTGTGGGGGTATATGCTCTTTCAATAGGTTTTTAGAAAGGATTTACTCAAAATATGGACACTATCAACCCCTAACGATGCTGCTGCTCCTCCGACCCGAGCAGGATGTTACCGGATATAGGGTGTATGGTCACTATTTGGCTGTGGGAATTGGTGGGAAGCAAGCCAAATAGCCGGGCGCGCGACGCGGCTGCAAAGCACTGTAAACGAATCTTTCTTTCGTGCTATGTAAATATTTCACTAAGGAGCATCCCGGGAAGAGCATGAGCTGTCGGGGCACAACGGTCACGACGGAAATCGCTCTGCGATTGGTCAGGAGTCCTGGTTAACCAAGCCACGGCTTCGGCATAACCGAAGCCCGTTGCTCTGCGGTCAGCGCTCAGTCACGGTCAGCATCATTGATTACTTTCCAATTACTACAGCAATGACTTGGTCATGCTATAACTATCAGGACGTTTGTGCATGATCCTCGTGCAAATCGACCGAGTTGCTTCCCTTACAAGGATGGTGGTAAACGCATCCTTGTTACCTTACGACGTCTTGTTATCGAATTTCGCTCGTATAACGCATCGCCCGACATTGCTTGCGTGTTCTCTCGTATGTCAGAGCTTTAGGGATGCTGTTCAGCCGAGTTTATATCGCCACATCATTTTCTATGACTCGGACGGTCGGGCAGGAGTCTTCGACAATATAGAGCGGTGCCATCATCTGAGAGGATATGTAAGGAGTGTGACTCACGTCTGTTAGTATCTCAGTAATGGTTGACGTCGATTGACTCCTACTGATTTTGCATACACGCCGTTATTAGCGAGTCGCCTAGGCGATGCGGATGATGCCTGTACCGGCCACAAGGCGTGTCCCCAATGGACCGGACCGCTGTCGAAACTTCACAACCTCGTCAGCTACACCTTATGCCCACCGGAGCTCCTGAGCGTCGTGGAGCCCATGAACTTTGACTTGCTCCTGAGCGTATCCCTGGTCCTGTCGCGATTAACGAAGTTGAGGCGCCTCCACATCGCGGTGAACCTGGACAGCCTCAGTATATCCATTTTCGCGAGCTTGCTTTCGCAAGGACAACTTCGGAGCTTGACCTTTGGAAAGGTGCAAAGCGGTATGCTTGCAAGTCTTGCCAAAGTGCCCGACGTGGGTCACTCGTTCTCTTTCCTGCGGGAGATGCACATCATGGTTAGTTCGCGATTCCGCGACGTCTAAATATGCGGGAAGACTACTTTCATGCGTTGATTCGTCGCTGTCACAGGAAATGGGTGAGGTGGATGTAAACGAACTACACGCGTTTCGGCCCCTTCTGCAACAGTTGACTCACCTCACACTTGGCACGGGCCACAAATTTCCGAAAGATGTCCTGTTGGAAACAGTGCTCCATGTCCCTCGTTTGGAAGTGTTGACCGTCTTCTACGATAACTTCCTGAATGGCACCGTGGTGAGAGCACTCGCCCCTTAAAAACACCGGCTCTATCTCACGTTGTGCAGGACGCAGCGCACTTCCAGTCGATCATACACTCATCACGGGAATGCCGTTTGGACTCATTTCACGAGCTGATTATCCAACATCAAGGTGTCGGGACCGCATCCCAGTTTTCTGAGCTATTCTCGTGGATAGCTGTTATCTGTGCCGGCTCTCCTCTCAGATGTCTCGAGATCCACTCAGATGACGGGCGAAAATCATACTTCAATCATGAAATTTTAGATTTGCTTCAGGAAAAGCGAGCCACCATGCGCCGGCTGGTGATGCCCAGGATCTTGATCCGCCGAGAGGTGCTCCGTCCTTTCCTGCAGTGTATGGAGCTAAAAGACGTTCGAGTGGACATTGACAGGCCGAAGTGGATTTGTGCGTTAGACAGAGCTGCACCATCTACGTAGAGGCGCCGGACGGCTTGTGAAGCGCATAAAAACCGGAGAAGACGGATTAAAGGGTACGTCAGAAGCTTGTGGTGAATGTGGTTTTTTTGTAGACATTTCCCACCAAAAAGACCCTACTCGTTATAGATAACATGTTTATCGTCGACGTCAAAGCGAGAACCCAGAGATGGCAGTCGCCGGTGTGGCTCAGATGCACGTGCATGTAAACATAAGAAGTGTGGCTTTGTTTGGTCCCAGTTCGAACTTCTTCTTTCCGCCTTCCACGACATCGACACCCCTTCCATACTCATCCGTCGCAACATGCCACCAATAAACAGTATCCTTGCGCCTGCACAGGAGGAATCTCCAACGAATATACGGGCGGTCCACATTTACAGATTGAACGGCTTGTATTACAACTATCTTTGGTCTTCTTGGGACCATAGCTGCCACTGCAAACTATTGGAGGGCTTGCGGAGGCAGGCAAAAGGTGGTCTCTTCGAAGGTTGGCGTTCGACGAAGAAGACAGCCTTGAAGAAAGACGCTGATGACCTCTTCCGATGGAAAGGAGAGAATCCGTCTTCTAAACAGCGAACCAAGAAGGTCTATCTTGAAGGGATATACAATGCTCCTCCAGATTCGGATCCCCGGATTAATCACATCTACGAAATGGATATAGATCGGCGGATTCTTTCTTATAACTCTTGTGCTCTCTACCGATTGGACAACATACCACCGCTGCCGACTGCTCTATCTAGTATTGCCCCCGACCATTATTCTGGACATATCTGCTTGGTGGATCGCATCTCGGATGCGTATCGTTGGAACTATCAAGTCAAGCCTCGAGCAGGTTCAGCACATCTAGAGTTCACCGAGCCTCACACCCTGCTGGATTTGCCTTTGGAATTGTCACGCTTAGAGAAGACTAGGCTTGATTTATACGCCTCCCTCGTTGGTTGCCTGATGTGGAACAGCTCTATTGCGATCCACAAACTCTCTGTCTTGAGCCACCTCGATCAGACGGATCCCTTCTTCCTTCAATCATGCCATCTGCTGGTAAGTCACGCATTGCGGCCTTTGATGGCCAGAAGGATTGGAGCGGATGATGACGCATCTGCATCGAAATTCTCATGGTGGGCGCGAAGAGAGATCTTTGTGGTCCTGAGACCTAATATTATCGACTCTCAAGACCTCGATTCCGTTATTGCGAAGATAGTCCAAACTATGAACCGGAATGAAAAGGCACAGGGACCCACTTTCGGCATCATCATTTCTCTATTCCATATCCTACTCATCCGCTTGGATAAAGAGCAAGATGGACGGGTAACGCGTACCCGTCCGCTACGATTCCTTCCGTCATTCTGCAGTAGAACAGGACATACGGCAGGAATGGTCGCGCTAGTCCGCCTAGGACTACTCCCGATTGCCGATGATCAAGGGTTCTTCAAGAGCATTATTCTCGATATACTACCTCTGCTAGACTCCTCGTCCCCCTTCATGGAGACATATGCTAGAAAATCTGGATCCCAGAAGTACAGCGTGCGGAACTTATTCAAAAATCAGAAAGGGCGGCTCCCACCCGAGGTCGTCAAGAAGATCGCTGCTTATGTGACGGGGGCGAAAGACCTTGCGCAGTTGGCTAGCTCATCTCTCGAGGCCCTTGACGCATGCATCTCATGGATGCGATACCCTATGTTTGGCCAGAACACAATGGAGTGGCTGGTCTTGCTGCAGTCGAGCGTCCCACTTCCGACGTGGGATTACGACGATGACGAGCATGAGGCGGCCATTCATGCGCACCTATTTTCTGCTTGCTTCGAAGTGACAGTCGATTCGGAAAATCTCCATCTGCTGCTCACTGCCAGCGATGCGTACGCGCGTCTTGTTCGCAACAGGTACCATCGCAGTTTAGTAGCTTTGCCCGCTAGGAGACCCGGGAGTGTTGGACCGCTGTCGTACGTCGGAGTCTTCCAGCTGGCGCAGGATTTGAGTTTGACATTGTACTATGTCCTGTATAAACCACTGGCAAGCGAGTAATGACTAGACGATTCATTTCGAGATATTTTAGGGTTGGCACTGGGGAAATATCTGTCAGTAGATGTCGCTATTTAAATGCACGCTTAATTGAAGTCGGCTCGAAAAATATTCTTGAAAGCAGCGCTGAGGACAAAGTAAGGTGGGTTGAGATAGGACTCACAAGAGTCTTGAGACTTCCGTTACGGCATGGACACAGCACTCCAGACCACTGAGCCCTATGTTCCAGACCCGTGCAATCTGCACTCCCCGTGGGACGAACTCCTGGCTCGACAGAGGTCTCCCACCTCTTCCCCTTCTATATAGATGTGCTTCGCCACAACATTGGTCAGAGTCTCTTGCGCTCTCATGAAGGTCCAGAAGCCAGACGAGCGAGACAGGTCCCAGCGAACACTCTCTGATGTTACAATCTCGAGGAAGCATAGCGGAGATCGGTCGCACAGCTTCTCGAGGAACAAAACAAATTCAGAGAACTCAGACAATGAGGAAATGCCAACGTGGTGGATAGTCAGTATGCGCATATTCAATAAGCAGTGCCGGTGGGTCGAGGGTAAGGTCACGTATCGCACTCGCGGATGGCTATGGTCAGAGTAGTCAGCTTAGTTGTGAGAGGCAAGGCTTAGGAGGTACATACTGCCATCTGTGTATCTAATGTATCTATGGGTGAGGCATAGTAGAAAGTGAAGACCTCCTTGAGCTGCGGGAGAGCTCTGAGGACATGCAAGAGAGCTGTTGGAGACAACCCGTGGTTTGCTCCAAGGTTGAAACGAGTAATATGACACAAGCCTGGGAGGACGGAGGGTAAATTTCCCGGAGATATATCCGCCATGTCCTAGGAATGACGGGACCGGATGAACCATTGCATCCGCGAAACGGTACCAGACACTGACGAGAAACTGGTAGACACACCGTAATATATAGCTCATTGACATGCGGCATATCCTGCAACCACTTCGCGAATTCCGTGGTGAACATCCCTACAGGTTTGCGAAGCGATAAGTTCCGCAGTCCGGACATCGCTCGCAGAGGATCCAGTGCAGACCCGGATTCCATTGGCAGCGCCGGAAGCCCCAAGTAAGTAGCAGAGAGGTTAAAGTCCAGGGAGATGTGCCTCAGAGTCGGACACAGCGCCAGAGCGTGAAGAGCGGACCTCAGGAAGACGTGGTTGACATATCGCGTAAGGTGGTCCTCAGGCACGGAAAGAGTGTATGATTTGAGGTTGTGGAGCTTCGAGAGAGGCGTGATCCATTTCCAGGATGCAGGGTCCGTGAACATGTCTACAGCTATTGTGGTGCGAGAGCGTAGCAAGTGTCAATGCTATAGTGAGTGAGATGAGCCACATTTTTGAGAAGCCTACCGACGTGCAGCACGGTCCGCACGTAGCTCCCCAATTGCGGGTGGTGATCGAGCGCCATGAGGGCCGAGCCAAGACAACCACCGTATCCATCATTGATGATGATGTTTTCGTAGAGCCTGGGGAGCGCAGCTTCGTAAAATCCGCGGCATACTTGTATAGCGGCCAGGAGAGGACGATGATCGTGAAGCGACTGGAAGATAGCTTGCAGGAGCTCGTTAGGGAGCTTCAATATCGATCTGTGAGAGGCAAATCTGTGCAAGCTGCCATAGCACAGTATTGATTTGTTAGCAAGAGTGTTCTTGACGTGCAGCGCATGTCTTACCTTGGATATCTGACGGCGGAGACGTGCGGTGCCATCATGGGGGGGGGACCATCATGCCAAGAAAAGTTGCAGTGTCTCCCTGTCAACAACGTGTAAGCCAGGGGGCACTTGAGCCACGGTACCAAGGCCCCGTCCTCTCGGGAATGACACCTCGCAGTGTTAAAATGACCAAATGCAAAGAACACCGCATACAGGATAAGACGATGGCGCCTTGCGGCCATACTCCAGAGTCGATCTACCCACCAGGAACTACGAAGGCTCCTTCCCGAAGGGCCACACTACTTCGGGCATTCTAACTGGTGCAGATCAGGGGACCAGCGACTTTACAATCGGAATCGCAGTCAGCTGAGACCAAGCATGGGTATAATTAGCTGTTCGTCCGATATTAAAGCGACGACACCATGAAGTACAAATGAACGCCAGCCCGCGGAGAAAAGGAGAGTTGCAGGACCTCAGGGTCTGCTCAGAGATTAGACCAACCCTACACTCTGGGCGAACCCTTAGACCTGAACTCAAATGCATTCGAACAGAGAGGGAGTAAGCTTGGAGAGGGCGTACAAAGGGGCTACCCGCAAGAAATCCGAGTCACACTCACAAAGACAAGAAAAGAGGTGACCTGCAGCAGCATCATGATCACATACTTGATGCGTGCAAGGAAGTTCCAGCTTCCGCGCTGTTTGGCTCGAAGCTTTGGTAACTCTACCTCGTATCTTGCCTCGACAGCTAAGACCCTCTGCGTACACTTCTCTATCTGCTTGACCTTTCCCTTTCTTTTCGCGTTCTCTAGTTCCTCCTGTGCCTCAGCCACCAATCTGACGTACTCGGCGTCATCACGGATATCCTGCTTCTCTCGTTCAGTAAGCAGCATGAAGGCGTCGAACATGATCGAGTTCAATAGCCTTGGATGAGCAGCCTTCTCCAATCACTCGAATATTCCAAGCCCTAGGATCCCAAAGACCGCAGTTCTGGACCTAACTTCAAACTTCTGCGTTAGCTCCTGAGGAGCATTGGTTGCGCTAACAAAGAACAGGCTCGCGGATGAGATCGCAAACCAAGCATCGGTGTGTTCGTTGCGGCGCTGCCCAAGTCTTTTGTGGGTCCTGGAGTATTCCACGGTGTCAGTCAGAAGCGGGATTCCGAACATTCTCATGTCAAGCAGAGAAGTCCTCTCGGGTTGCAACTTCAGTGTCTCATCCAGCTCGGCTTCCTTGAAGGAGACCATTGTCGCCCCATCCTTCGATCGGGAGACAGAGTCGAAATATCGGGCGAAAGGGGGCTGACCTCAGGCTTCCGGTCGTCGACGAGCGTGAAGACCTTGGAAACACTTGGAAGAGATGACTCGTATTTCTTATGTGTATTCGTCTGTGACTGCGAGGTTGTCGGCGGTCCGGGTCTATCATATCCATCGATACGCAAGAAGCATCTGGACTTCAAGAGGGTCGCGCAGAAATGCTGACAATTCTGGAACATTGCCTTCCAAAGTGCGACCTCTGGATTATCCCACACGAGGTCGTTGAACGCTCTGCTCTGGCTGAGTACCAGTGTATCAAATGCGTTCGTATCTTGAAAGTTCCTCCCCAACTTCACTATCTGGTGAACAGCGTCATTCTGGGCTTTCTCCCGTTTCGCCGGCGATAATCGGTCCACGACCTTCCGCCTATAGAACTCAAAGGCCTGGAAGACAAAGGTATCCAAAATTGCCTCGGCGTATACGTCCCGATTGTTCACTTGGATGAACATATCGTCCACAACTTCCTTGATTAAGGCAAATGGTCGAGGAGCCGGGATACGGCAAGCGGTGTCAGGAGGCACGTTTCCCAAGTCCGTTGTGTCAAGTCTGATAGGTGTATCAACTGGACCAAGGCGCAGAGCAGGACACCTGCCAACGGGATTAAACCGTGAAGTAATGAGAATACCATCAATTATAACACAGGTCAAATGCTAGTACAGAGTCTTGTGTCAAGATCAATGTCTGATATGTACGTACTGTCTACTCTCTGTTTTCATACCTGTTTCGAACCTCAACGGTCCCCACACAGTGGATGCGTGAGCGTTGCCCCATCGGAGCGCATGACGGGTCGTAAACCGCAGAGTCGCGAGTGAACAGCCGGTCGAGAGTGTCAATTGGTGCGCCGATCCGATCGCCCATCCCTCTATCTTCGAGGAGGATGCTGACATTGAAAAGCCCTCGTGACCACGCTCAGTTGGCTTGAAGGACGGTAGTCGAGACTGAGGGGGCATACCTGCGCTCTGCAGAAGACAGCGCGCGATGTGAGTAGACGCTTTCTCTTCTGTCGGATTGAACACATCTGAACCAGCATCTGGCTTCGATTTGGCAGCTTTCGCGAGAGTCAGAACATCAATCCCTGCTCATTTCGCGACGTCGATGATGTCGTCTATGATATACCCGATGACCTCATGGATGGATTGCCAAAACAATTCCGACAGAGCTGATTTGATCGCTTCTTTCCCTTGCTTTTCTTCCGTATGCCATTTGGGCTAGGACTTGGCCACTGGATCGGCCGGGATGTTGTCTTGAGCGGGGGTGACGGACATGGGCATTGGGAGTAAGGGTCTCGATGGAGGATAGAGCATACAACTCTACATGTGTGCTTCGGATACCCTCCGTGCTGCCGTGCGTCTGTCAATCATACCTCATGGACAGCGATCGATGTGTATATATACACCTCAATACACTTACACGTGCTCCCCTATCTAGCCAGCTTGGGAGTATCTGCGCTCTCCTAATTCCGTAAGATGAAGAGTCTCCGAATATCTCTCCTTACTGGAGTGGCACCAGATACAGGGATAGCCGCGAAGCCCCCAATTCACCCTAAGTTTCTTACACACCTGTCTCCAGTTTCTCTAGGATCGTCGCCAGCTAGAAAGAATGACCAACGTGCGTCACCTCTGTCCAGATTCTACGGGGGTTAATTTAAGCACAGTGCCCATACGACTTCGAACACAGGGGTATCCTTACGTCGTGCCATGGGAAACGCAAGCAGCTCAGCCACACTGTGGGGAGCACAGTCTCTGGGTGCTTCCGGCAGACTATCCGCAAGCACCCAGTCCGGTCGCGCCTCGCAGAACTTCGCCGCCGTTGTCGGGATCTTCATGAGAGAGTATGAAAACAGGGACATCAGTCAGTAGTCTAGTCTTCCTCTCTACTGTATACCCGTCTGTGCAAGCGGCTGGACGAGTCCTAGACGCGCCCGAAATCAGGAAGGCCATTGAGAGCCTTTCGGTCGCGCTGGATAACGATCGCGCTGCAGTAGACCTCAGCTTCATTGGTCGCTTGCCGGACTGGAAGAGGTGCGAGCGATCTTCAGACTGTCGTATAGTTGATGGGAAATAGACTTCCATGCCAGGGGGAATGAATCGATGTTTACGCACGTCAGAACCGCTGTGTGCCGCGCAAAAGAAGTCTATCAGTCGCGGACCAGGAGGCCATCGACGCACGCAAAGCAAAGCAAGCGGGCGGCGCACAAACGAAGCTCGTGGCGGCTGAGCCCGCGGAGCTCGTCGCAGCCGCAGAGGCAGCGTACTTGCGCAACACGAAGAACTGGGCGCTGTTCGTTGATGGCAAGAGTAACAGCCTGTACTTTGCTGTCAGAGGGACGTCGACGGCCGGAGGCGCTGATGTGGTCGACAACGTCACGAACGTGGATGCGGAAGCGATGTTGACTATGGATTTTGACACTGGTGTGGGTGGTCATCGATATTTGATGCAAGCTTAAGGCATGACTCGTGGGACCATGAGCACAGATAGAGCGGCAGGGGTCACGCATCGAGGTTTACTCGAGGTAGCGAAGGGTATGTTCCCGAGGACGTAGGACGATATATTGCAGAGCGCCGATCGAACCGACTCGAAGCCTACGCTGGTTTTTTGTAGGCACTCCGCGGGCGGGGGTACTGCCTTCTTCCTGTATCACTATTTCCAAACGCGGATGACCCGAGCTGAACGAGACGCGTGTGGGCCCATGTGGGCACCATAGTACAGGGTACAACTGAGTACTTCGACAGTCACCAGCATATACTGCATCACCTTCGGCTCAGCCGCTGTCGCGCGCGTCGGTACCAAACCCCGTCCACAGCAGCCGCCCAAACCCCGTGCACAGCAGCCGCGAGCAAGACCTCATCGATCCCGTCCCTCGTGCCGAGATATCGTATGCAGAATGGCTCGCTGAGGCTGTCGGAAGGCATCTCGCTGTGCAGAGCGGGAGGAAGGACGTGCCGCCGTTCTCGCCCCTGCCGTTTCTCTACCCAGGCGGAGAGCTTGTCCTCCTCGACGAAGGGGGTGAAGTCGTTGCGAAGATGGAAGCGGAGTGTTTGAGTGCACATGTCTTCCTCGATCTGAGTGCTCATAGTAGTTCTGAGTGTCAGAGAATTGTGGACCAGCTGGTGGGATAGACATCGGACACCTCTGTCTTGAGATAAATTCACCTCTTGGATTCTTCAATGACACGTATTCGAGTTGGGAGAGTCACTCGTACCGAGCCAATGAGGCAAAGTACTTTTATATTCGCTCGTGCATAGGCCGGTATACAAATGCTTCAAGTGTGCTGTGGCAAGTTGCCACAACTATCCGCCACAAAGATGGGCATAGGTTATTTATAGCATGAGAAAGATGGAGATAAGATAAGATGTACATACGTCTCAGAGACAAGCGGATAAGGATCAGCGAGAAGGCCGGATGAGGGCAGATGGCGTGTCCTGCTCAGCTCATCTCCCACAGCGCAGACGCCCGCCAATCCAATCCCGCAGCTAAGCTCTCCCTTGGCTCTAACCTGCTCGCCATGTCCAACGACGCCCAGCCCACCATGAGCACCAGCGCCGGCACCATCCGCGGGCTGCACATGCCGCCGCTCGACGTCGCCACCAGCGCCGCCCACTCCCCGTCGACGCCGCCGTCGCCGACCGATTCGGTCTCCTCCTTCCCCTCTGTCTCCTCCTCGTTCTTCTTCTCCTCCGGGCCCGCGTCCCCGCCTTTGCACCCCGACACCGACCCAGACGTCACACATACCGACGACCACGAGCACGAGGCCGAAGACAGCACCTCCGCGCTGATCATCCCCTCGCTCACGCTGCCCTCCGCGCTGCGCCGCCCGACGCTTTACGGCCAGGTCCTCGGCGAGCTGCGCGTGCTCGTGCTCGGGCGCCACGGCGTGCGCAAGAGCCGCGTCGCGGAGGCGCTGCTCGAGGGGAACGAGGACCTCGTCGACGTCGACGAGCCGGAGGAGGAGGAGGCGCGCGGGTGGCGCACGCGGGTGTGGCGCGCGAGCTCGGAGTGGGTCGAGCTGCGCGATGCGCATGGCCTCGAGCGCGTCGAGCCGAGGCGGAATGTGGAGGTGGTGATGTGGCCGGGGTATGACCCCGCTGGCGACGATGTGAGCGTTCCCTCGCGGTTCATGCAGTAGTTAGTACTGAAGAGTCTAGCCCGAGGCGATTACCGCGCCGATTGTGAAGCACCTGCAGTCGAGCTTCCACGCGCTGCACGCGCTCATCGACCCCGCCGCGCCGTCCTCCTCGACGCCCCTGCTCACCTCGCTCGTCGGCGGGCCCAACACGCCCCTATGGACGCTCGGCGTGCTCGTCGCCGATAAGGACGGAGGTGCGTACAGTCTACCCTCCTAGCGCTATCTCCACCATGCTCATTTCATTCCTCCTATCGCCGTATATTCTGCATCGTCTGCGTGATAGCCCTGACGCCCCTTGACCGCGCGATCCTCGCCGCCCTATCTCCCTACATCCCCTTGATCGTCCTCCCCGCACCGAGCGCACCCGCCGCGTACCCCATCCCCGCGCCCTCCTTCCACGACACCCACACGCACATCCACGCTCCGTCCCCGGCGCCCTCCTCCTCTTCCTTACCCTCCGAATCCCAGCGGCGCCCACCGATCCGCCCCGCAAGCCGCAGCCGCACCGAAACCGTGACGCTTCCCACCAGGGATAGATGGAAAGACGCACACTCCAGTACTAGGAGCAGCAGGGAGAAGGGCCTGTCGGCCTTCCGCCCGCCGAGCGTGCTCGCGCTGCGTTCTGCCCTCTTCCGTTCGCCCGAGACGCTGGCGTTGCTGCGCGGCGAGGCGGGCGAGCGCTGGGTGCGCTGGCGCGCGTCGGTGTCCCCTTCCGCGGCGGCGTCCCCGCGCTCCAACAGGGGGAGGGGGCGCGGGCGCGGCCAGGGACAAGGGTGGGATAAGCGGAGGTGGGAGGAGGAGCTGGCGTATTCGCAGGCACAAACTCAGACGCAAACTTACACGGAGAAGGGGGGGGAGAGGGAGGAGGGGAGGTGCGCGGAGGCGATGGGCCTCGGTATGGACCCTTTGCACGTCCCGAGTCTGTTCGCGGTTGCAGTTGGGCTGTTTAGGGGTGAAGGGGGCACAGGAGGGAGCGGGGTGGGGTGGGGGTGGTTGGTTGTCGCCGCCGCTGCTGCGTTTTGTGCGGGTGTGGGCGTGGGGTGGGGGTTGTTGAGGATGTGAGTGTATTGAAATAGGCTAAGGAGCGATTAGAGCATACCGTACAGACGGGATGCTGCGTCTTTTGATAAGATGTATCGACGTTGTGTTATTGCTGTGAGTCGCTTGTGTTGGTAGAGTGCACTATCGGGACTCTCAATCTGGATTTTCCTGCTTTTCATACTAGTACTAGTATCTTCACCCATACATACACCTCTTTCGTTCATGTGCTCAACGTGTAGTAAGTAGCGTGATATCTCCTGTGCTCGTGTACTCATATAATGGTATGCTATTGCATTTCGACCTTGTTGATTAATATTCTGTTCGAACGCGTTGACATCAATGTGAAGTCCGCGGCCGGCCGTGCCAGTGAGACGGAGTCGGACATGTCGGACGCGGGACGTCACGCGTTCCTGCTCCAAATCTATGCCTGATGGGCTGCTCTAGGACCCCTGATTATACTTAGGTAGGTCGGATACGGGTCCCGGCCAAAATGGAACTCGCGAGACCCCAGGGTTGGGTTCAATCCCGGTCAGATTTGGCCTGTGCCACAGCAGTGTCGGGTACCAATGTCCGAGTCAGAAACCTTCCGGAGCGGCAGGCCTAGGTTGGATACCATCCCGGTCAAGCAAGCCACAATAGAGAGTATTTGCAGGAGGCGAAGTGGACACTTTTTCCGCTTAGCAGACAGCCCACTTCGGATAATGTGAATGCACCACAAACACCAAAAATATGATATTCTGCACCACCTACCCATTAGCATTGGGTGTATACCTACGTATAGGGTAATATGCTGTGTCAGAGTTTCCAATGTATCCCCAGCTTTTTCCGCGAATGGCTCCGACGCGCACCACTGCTGTTTTCACTTCGCCTAAGATCTCGTGTCAGATCAGATAGCTAAAGTTGACTTCGCCTCCTGCAAATACTCTCTAATGCTTACTGTGGTGACCTATATACCTGTGACTTTGTGTGGCATTCCATCAAATCAACAGTTGGTGCCGCTCACACACTGCGGGCAGAGACCGATGTCCCGCCGGCGAGCATGCTATGAACATGCCCCGGTTGGGAGAACACTTTCCTAGAATGGTCTTTGTTGGACCATGATCTGGACATGGAGAATGTCCTTTGAATGAACAAAGGCAGGTCTGCGGGACATTTACTATGGTCTCTCAAAATCAGGGGACATTTGATTGACATTGTTCTCTCATTCTTTATGTCTCTGCCAAGTCCCACTTCGGAGCATGCAAGGAAAGTGTTCTCCCACCTATTTCATGAATGACGAATGTCCGGTGGCGGGACATCGGTGCTTGCCCGCTGTGACAGGGACCACAGGTTTTGTGTGGCTCGGCTGGTATCAAATGCTAAATTTGATTATTGCAGCACGGGATTGCCTCAAAAGCCTTGAAACTTGGAACCCCACAAGCCTGACCAGCTTGACAGAGGATCAGATGCATACATTGGGCACTTACAACCATTGGGAATATTTCTGATAGTTTTCAGGGAATTTTGTGAAATCTGAGGGTCAGATACTACCGTCCCGGTCAATCTGGCCACCCGCCTGGGGGTTGGGTTCCGATCCCGGTCAAATTGCCTAATATGGATCCCGGTCAAAAAGGTCAGAATCAGGCCTGCGCGTATCCGACCTACCTATAGGTATTATCAGGGGTCCTGGCCTGGGACGACGCGTCAATTTAGTGAGCCACGTGACTTTGGGTTGTTACGCTCAAGTCACGCCCTCGCTTCGATGAACGTGAACGCTAAGTACGCGCTTCAGTAGGACCCCTGAAAATACCGATTGAGGTTGGATACCAATTCCGTAAAAAAGCCGGGTCTGAAGGCCGTATGTTAGATACAGTTGCGGTAAAAAGTGGAGAAGCGCCCAAGAGGCCAGATACTTGAGTCCCGGTAAATGTGAGGCACGATATCCCAAGGTCAGATACCAGTGTGGTATATACCAGGCTTCTTCCGGTCCTCAATCACTCGCTTGTGCAGCCACAATTGCCATATTGAATATTCGAAGGGAAATTGCACCGTTTAGGCAAGTATTAGCCCATATACGGCAGATTGTGGCTGAGCATGCCATATTGGGATTAAATTGGGGTGAAATAAACCCTTGTAGCGGGATCAAAATCCGGAGGTCGGATACCTGGGTCCCGGTAAATCTGGAGCCCGATGGCTAGGTTGGTATCGCGTCCCGTTAAAAACGGCCAAATTGGGCAAAATTCGGTCCCGGTAAAAATGAAGGAAAACAGGTCTTCTGGTATCTAACCTCCATCGGTATTTTCAGGGGTCCTGCTTCAGTCTTCATATGATAACATTCGGGACACAGCGAATAATGGATGCACTTAAATTCAAACCAGCGCAGGCACCACTTCTCAGGCTGCCTTACGAGCTCCTCCATTCCATCTTGTCCTTGTTGTCCGACCGATGCGCTTGTCTTCTCGTCTGCAGAAGATTGTACGAGGCGGCGATTCCCAGCGTTTATAACGAGATTATCATCGATGACGGGCACGGTGGCCGCATGGGAAGGGCGCTCGAGACACTCGTGACACGCCCACATCTCAGGGTGTACGTACGGAGCGTGCAGCATCTTGGTGGGTGTCAGTACATTAACACGTTCTCGATCTCAAGACATATCTTGCATTCACTCGGGCATGCTCATATTGAATTGACAGTGAGAGATATATACATCGACAGCTCGTCTGTTACCTGGTTTCCTGAGCTCTGGAAGCTTCCCAATCTTGCTTCCTACACCTTGTGCACCTTTCGGGGACGCTTAACACGACTCATCAACCTCAACCTCGTCGAGGCTGTGTTGCGTGCACTGGCCTCCTGTCCAAAGCTGTCCTCAGTTAACCTGGACTTCCTGCTCACATCGAAGTACATTCCCGTGCTGGAATGCCTGCGCGACATACCAGCATTGAACAGCGTATGCTTGGGCGAGCCGACGACGACGTTCCTCGTAGGTGCCGCTGAGTTCTTGAAGCGAACGCCTAGGATTAGCGCACTGCGCATCTCAGTGCGCATTTCATGGATGACATATCTGCTATACTTAACTCGTACTTTAGGATACCACGTCAGTGGCAGAGAAAAGGCTGTGTCCAACCTTACCTGATTTATGCCATATAACACGTCTTACGCTCGGATGTGCCTACGCACTATCCCTCCACGCACTCTCGGGGATCCTACAAGGTCTGCCTCAGCTGGAGGAGCTCTCCCTGGTCTACTCATTATATGAGTCGACCGACCCGCTTGTTGACCATAGGAATGTGGGCACTGCTCTCATGTCTTCGCAGAAAGTACCCTCGCTGATCTTACCTAGTGTCCTTTCCCGCCACACGTCAGCCTGCCGAACCTTCGCGTGCTGAGGTTCCAATATTCCTTCTTCAACATCTCCCACATCGTCTCCTTCCTCAAAGCACTCTTTGGCCGTGCTCCCCTGCGTGTACTAGAGCTTGTCTCACCCAGCCTTCACGGGAGTATGCATGTGAGCGGTTCGAATGGCTTAATCGACTTCGTCAAGGCAAACGAGGAAATGATCGAACGAGTCCTGTCTAACCAAACTGAATCCATCTCCTGCCGGAGAGAAATGACTAACCTCATCCTGTACAAGGTTCCACGCCCAGCAGTGGTTGTCACCTTTTGTGAAAGCCATGGGCTACTAGATGCATGAGATGTCCTCCCTAAAAGATGTCGACACTGTCATTCAATGTTGTATTGCATATTAGCTAGCCTGATTTTTTACCGACTGTTTGATGACATGTCATCTCCTGCAATAACTGGCCTGTTTCTGTTCCCATCCTATTAAGATAGGGCCAGCTCATGTACGACTACTATCACGTGACTATTTTTGTCACACTTGGCGGGGAAAGCACGAAGTCGGTCTTATAACTTTGGGCACAGGTAGAAAACCACAGATGTTTTTTATAGGAATCAAAGATACAGTACATACAAATAGTTCCTATAAAAAACATTTGAGGATCTCGACCCATGGAGATTATAATAAGCTCGACAGTGGTGATTTCTATCGATGATCTCCTCGATTTCCTTACACTGACCTGCCATATATAGGCAAAACACGTGATTGTCACGGTGTGACCAAGGTAGTCGTGTATGGACTGGCCCTATCTTACCAGCCGCGGACGTCGTGACTGAAACCTCTTCTGTCGTACAAAACTTGAGCATCTAGCGATTCCTGCGATCGATCGATGTTCCTCTAATCACACTGCGGATAGACAGGTATTTCGAGACGCTCGCGATAGGCACTCGGCATCTATACATTTATGATCTATAGCACCGACCGTGGTGCAAGACATGCATCCTGGAAGGGCGAAGCGTGAGCCGAAACTCATGCATAGAATCCTGCGAGAGGCGATCTATGGCTGATATGAATCTCTATTACTTCGCGCCCTGCCCCATTAACTCTACTCATACTCCCGAAATGCTCGTATCCGAGGCCCCGCAGACAGGCGTGTCCGATTGTTGAGAACGACACCGAGCGGGATATATCCAGCCGGTCACGGGCGTTATGATGACCATCAGGACGACGGCGTGTACGACGAACATGGCGAAGACGATGCTCGGGAAGACCTTTGCTTGCAACGCGAAGTTGATCACGATTAGTTCGAGTAGCCTGGAAAACGTCCGTCATGAGCGTGCCAGTTCTGTACTCGTTCATACGCACCACTTGCAGCTCATCAGCGTTCCTATGGCGGCTGACTCGCGCCAGGTGAACCCCATCAATTTGGAGGCACCGCCGCAGCCGATGAGTTTGCCCATATATGCCAGGAGGCATACGAGAATGGTAAATCCCCAGGCTTTGCCAGTGTTTAGCAGCCCAAGGTCAGTCTTGAGACCCGATAACGCGAAATACTGGAGGAGTGTCCTGAAAGAGCGTAAATACCCCAGTCGTCGTCTTGACTTACTACAGGTAGGAATATATTCCATACGACTGGTTCGAGGCGCTTCATCATAGCGATGGACAGTTGCTTATCGCGAGGTATAATCAATCCCGATATGAATGCCCCTAATCCTGAATTAGCTTGCCATCTGCCATCCAGACTGTCATGCTCACCGAATATAGCGTGCAAACCAGTGATATCTGTGAAGAAAGCGGAGACCAAAAGCATCATGATAGCGCAAGCCATCATGATGCTTGACGGTTCTCCCGTACCCAGCTCTCCGGTCGCTTGGCCGATCCATCGAAAGAGCCAGCGCACGGGATATATGAGGAAGAGCGTGTAGCCGATGCATATCAGGAGGATCCACAGGGCAGCGAGGCCAGTGGTGGAGTTTACCAGGGTAACAGCGAGCGCGAGTAGGATCCATCCCACGACGTCGTTCCCGACGCCGGCTGACAAGACGATGACTCCGAGCGGTGCGCTGAATAGTTCGAGCTGGGCCAGCATTCGGCACAGGATGGGGAACGCCGTAATACCGACAGAGATGCAGGTGAACAGGGCGAAGTGTCCGAAATTCACGGAGTCGTCCATAAATGCTCGATAGTGCGCCAAGGATAGCAGTGAACCGAAAGCGAACGGGATTATTGATCCCGCAGCCGATACTACTGCAGATGTCCTCGCATGCTGCTTGATGAGTTGCAGGTCAATCTCCAAGCCAGCGAGGAATAGGAAGAGAACTAGGCCCAGTGTCGCGCAGAGATTGAGTATGGGGATAGACTCTTGCGGGAATATCGTGGTGCTAAACTTAGGGATGCGTCCCATGACGGTCGGGCCTAACACAATGCCGCCAATAATTTCGGCCACAACTCTCGGTTGGCGCATGCGCCACAAGAGCAGGAAGCATATCCGCGAGATAACGATAATGAGGGCTGTAATGCTTGGAGCATTAGAAGTGGGGCCTAGGGTGGACAATATGGCCTTGCGCAATTGAATACTGGCCTCCTTGGATAGCCCACAGCTTGAATGGATCATTATAATCATAATTACTTGGATCAGATCCCGAAAGGATGCCTGCCTATCTCCATACCTATGTGAGCATAACTGCAAGACAGAGACATCTAAGAGAACCTGACGTGGTTTGCAGCAGAACGGCGAAACCAATCGGCACGATCATAAGGTGCTGTTTGCACCATTGTTATCGCTCTCCGCGGTTTCTGCCATCCTCCCCTCCCCAATATTGCGGGTACTTACCACTAGTATTGATACATCATGACTGGTGCGTGACTCACTCGACAGCGTGGCGTATAAGTTGTAAGCCTATAAGTAGCTCAATCAGAACCAAATCAGAACGCTTCAGAACGTCGCAGATGAATGCGTGACGTCACGCGGGCGATCAAGCAGATTCAAGCAGCTCCAGAATATCTCTGGTTACAATCTGTTGGCTAGCCAGCTTTGACGAATATTCTTCCGATGCCTACGATTCTGTCTCTGCCATACGAACTGATTGAAGCCATTCTCCAAGCTGTACCTGACTCCCACAGCCTGCTAGCCAGTCTGCGGGTATGTCGCGCGTTCTACGACGTTGCTCTTCCTCTCGTATACAATGAGATTGTATTCGACGATGGATACAAAGGAAGAACTGGAAGAGCCCTGAGCGCTGTAGAGAAACACCCTGACTTGATAGGCTGCGTCAGGAGAGTGCGGCACGTCGGTGCGTCTTCCGAATGTTTAGATCTCACTGCGGGCAAGAACCTATAAAATTACTGGACATACAATGAATACCCCTCCCCCTTCCTTGACTTTCGGATCCATGTCCTCCGTCAGCTCCTAGTAAGGTGCACTTTGACTGGGAACGGTTGCGAGTGTCTGTACATTGGTGCTTGCCCGCAGTGCTTTCCTCATTGTGCATATTGTATTGAACGTAAACTATACTAGCAAGAGATATGTACATCCAAACATCAGATTTCATGTGGACCGCATCGCTTGCCAGGCTTTATAACCTCTGCTCTTACACGCTCTCTACCCCGCGGAACCGGCGACTGCAGTTCGTCCCACTCGCCTTCGTCGGGGCAGCCCTTCATGCTATGGCATCATGCCCCAACTTGAAGGAGGTTTATTTGGACTTTCATTTGACAAGCAGTTATATATCTACATTGACGGATTTGGCTGACGTGCCTGCGCTGAAGAGCGTAGGCTTCGGCCGACCGAGCGGTTTGTTCCTCGTAAGAGCGGCGGAGTGGTTACCGAGGGTGCCTCATATCACTGGCTTACATGTACTGGTATGCACTGCCCATCTCTTGAAGGGTAGCGGCGATGTTAAAAAGCAACCTACTTCCGTTGTTGCTCTTGTTCACAGGACGCGACTGAAGTCAATCCTGAAAGATTCCGACAGGTACTCCCCGGCCTGCATAATATCACGTCCCTCACGCTTGGGCCGGACCATTCCCTGTCTCCCCTCACCCTCCTTGACACTTTATGGTCTCTCCCGCAAGTAGAGCAGCTTTCGGTATCCTACTATAACATTCCTGCAGAGCTTGACGTGGTAAGTGCTGAATCTATCTCCTAATACATCCATGCCGAAGCGAAATTCATCACCATGTTGCCAGTTACTTCTGGAACGACTGTCCTTGTCTCCAAGCGGGTTGAGGAACCTCCACACTTTCATGGTGCATCACGCGGATGTAACATCCGCACCAGACTACACCGCTCTGTTCTCTTGGATTCGCTCTCTCGTCGACAGCTCCCCTCTGCGATCGCTTGAGCTCGTGCCCATGGACGCGAGCGTCTGTGACAACCCCGCGGAGCTCCTCTACATTATCCGGTCGAAGGAGACAATGAAGCGGGTGGTGGCGGAGCACGTCTTTGTACGTCGAGAAACCGCCGCTGCTTTAATGAGAGAATCAGGAATGAAGGAGGTGAGATTCGGGGTGTATCCCGATGTGGACGCAGGGGAACGGGGTATTACTGACCACGGGAGACGTGACGAGGGAGAAAGCGCATCTTACTCTGCTATCAGCGCAGTGATCTGAGCATCTCCGACGTGTACAGCAATCTCTAAGCGCCCATGTCGAATTTTGGAATTATGGAATGCTTGGACTTTAATCTTGGATAGCACATAGGTAACGAATGTCTTCATTGTCTGATTCCGGAGCACGGGCAATGAATTGACGAAAAGTTTGATTTATTGGATGTATGATTTCACACGTCCTAATTATACAGACATACCTGGGTATCGGCCTTATATTAGACCCGTCACTGACGCCCTAGGCTTAAAGCCTTCGGAGGATTCCTGAATGACTTTCCTGCCGTCGCTGTGACTCTCTCCGCGGGAGATGTTGATCCTCTTCTAGAATTGTGTTTACAGGCTGAGTTCTGCGCTGTTCATTCCGCTCCCGTGTACTTGAGATGTCTAACCGATTTCTAGGTGCCACAGTAAAACAGTTGAAGTATTTCAAAGTTGTCGCAAGCGCTGCAAGTGCGCACCACCAGCGTTCACCTAGCGCTTCGCTCAGTATTTTGGTGCTCAGACAATCTCAGTGATGGACATACGCACAGCTCGACAAAGTCCAATACTAAAGCTTCCTTACGAGATTCTCCACGCTATATTCTTCGCTGATGCCTCAATTCCCCGCACATGTCTCTGCGTCTGCTTCCTTTTCTATGAAATCCTGGCTCCCATCGTTTTCAGGGATATCACCGTCTATTACTGCAAGGGTCGCGCCCCACCTCGTCTTGCGCGATATGTCAGGAGTATGCGGCATTGTGGTGCGTTCTCCTTATGGCCCATCACGCTCAGAATGGTGGTGGTTGTAAGCTTACGTCCCGTTATATTCAGTGGACGTACCAAAGGCGATGATGATGAACGTGGACAATGCAAGCTTCATTTCGCCTTTCGAATTTTCGCAGCTTCCCAACCTCACCTCGTACACTCTTTGCGTGCCGCATTGTCGCGACGAGTACTTCGTTACCAAGGACTTCCTCTCCATTGCCCTTCATCAATCAAGTTTGGTCTCATTGTCGAAACTAGCAGAGGTGTACTTGGATTTCTGCTTGGACATGACGCACCTACCCGCCATACTGGGATTTTTAACAGCGATACCGAACCTCCGGAGGGTCGGCTTCGGTGAGCCAAACGGGGCCTTCTTGGTAGGGGTTGCAGCAGGGTTGAGGAACATGCATAGCATCCGCGAACTACATATCTCGGTGCGCATCATCGACGCACCTAACTTCAACCTTTATCTCATGCGGTGGTTATCGCGTTATATCTTGCCCATGGCTTCAGGACACATCTGCTGTCACTGTCACAGAATTACACTCTGCGCACCCATACTTACGCAATATCACTCGCCTCAGGTTTGGGCATGGATACAAGCTGTCCCCTCGCGCCCTTTTGAAGTTCTTACAGGCTTTGTCACAACTCGAGGACCTACAGGTCGTATATCAGGAATCGCAACCTAACCTTAACACTGTAGGCTGCTCTTGCTCCCAACTCGAGCATTACAGCTCACTAACCATCCTAGCAGGAGTCCACAATTTCATCCTGGGACTTCTCTCCATATGGCTCTGGTCTACCGAATCTACGTGTCCTGTCAGTGCATAACTCCTCTCCGCCTTCCCCCTTCTTCCTTCCTTGGCTCCGGGCCCTCTGTCATCACTCCCCTCTATGGTCCCTCGAGCTTGACTCGCTTTTTCCCGTAAGTTACCCTTGGCATGCGCTCTTAGGGTTCATCAGGGAGATACGTACCTTGAAGCGGGTGGTGGATGAGCACGTTTACGTGCCTCCGGAACATATAGATACTTTGTTGAAAGAGACGGAGGTGAGGGAAGCAAGGTTCTGCGACAGGCCGGACTAGCTATATTCTCGGTATCTGACTTTACGAATAAACTCTCGGCCAATCGGAGTCCTGAAGGATCACTAAGGTGGGAGGCTCCAGACTCTGCAAGTTACTTCGACGAAGAGGACTGCGCTGTCAGGGTTGCTTACGTGCTCGGCATACCCTCGAGCGCTCAGGGTTGACAGAGCAGAACCAGCGCTCTTTCGTAGTCCAAACGAAGCGCCGTGTTATTGGGAGTAAGTTCTGCAGTGGCGCCCTTGTGATGTGTCCGGATAACGGAAGACTGGATCCAGCTGAGTCTTCCAACATATTGCATATCTCTTGGCTTCTCGTTATGCGCATGTTACTGTAAAACGTACCTTCTCCTCCGCGTCCACGCGTTCTCCTCTCAGTGACCAACGGGGATACGCAGGCCTTATCCTCCTTCCCTCCTCCTTCACCTGACCAGGATGCAACCAAACAGCTTCTTGCTATGTATAGCGAGACCATGGTCGGGACTTGTAGGCGATCGTCTCGGACATACTCCCCGAGGCGATAGCCTTGTTACATCCTGATATGTCAGCTCGACCCTGTACATCTCCTCACTCGCGTCGGACACCGCCAAGATGCCCGAGAGCGCTTATTACTCAACAGCAATATATATGCATGAAGCGCACCTGTCCGTCCTGAACAATGTCCAAGAGTACCTTCGATTACCAAGTTCAGCGAGTCACGTACGAGACGGATGTGCCCGTGTCAACAGTCCTCTCGCGGCTAGACGATGAACTCAATCGAGCGCAGTCAAAGGACCTCCTGCGCGCTCTAACCTCGAATGCCAGCAAGGAGGAGTTAGAAAAGACTGTCCTTGCGCTAACCGACAACGGGGCACGAGATTTCATGTGCGTCCCTCTCTCGTCACAAAGAACGTGCGACGAACGAAGGCATACGACAGGTTCTTCGGTGAACTGAGACACGATGCCTGGCTGAACCCATACCTTGGGAGCGACGGCGCGTTCCCAGTGATGAGCGTGTACACGCTCGGGAACCCACTCATCGCGCAGACAATGATCCCGCACAATGCAGTCGCAGGATACTATGTCCCTCCCAAAGTCTTTGTGATTGGTGAGCCAGACGGCAAGGGAGCTAAAGTGATCTATGATCTTCCTTCGACTCTTATTGCTGCTGGTCAAGGCGGAGAGCTGAAGAAGGCGGCTGAGGTGCTGGATACTAAACTGGAGGCTTTAGTGAAAAAAATTACGGCGATGTAACTCACGGAACGGTGCGAAGATATTTCCATTTCGTGGCATTCCATCGACTAACTAGCATGACCTACAGGATGTTCATTTCCCGAGATGGTGTCTGTGGACATTCATAGCGGGCTTTCTCTTCACCTAGATGTTTCCGGACAGAATGTCCGCTTTGGGACCCAAGTAAAATACCGGAATTTGGTCAAGAGGTGCATACACGTTGACCGTCTCACCCCCTTGACCGTAGTCCGTATCATTCCACCTACCGGCTTGTCAGCAGGAATCCGCGATACAAATTATCCGAAACAGTTACCAGTGGGTCCATGATAAATTCTGCGCCATCCAAGACTCTGGCAGGCGAGGTAGATATACGTCCTTGGCGGTAGCGTTCTCAGCTCCCACGGGCGATATAAGGAGTCTTGGGCCTGAAGGCGTTGTGAGGATTAAGGTACAGATGTTAGCAGGCATCCAATTTGTCACTGACCGAGCATGAACTGGTGTACGACGAGCGGGTTATTGACCGCGGTTCCGTTGACGACTGTGTCATCTGATAGCGAGAAGTCATAGTACAAGGGCCTCATGATAGTCTTCCCAGTCGCGTGTAACATCTGGAAAAGCCTTCTCATGTACGGGACGAGCTGATACCGCAGGGCGATGTACTGCGGGCGGTAAGTGAGAAAGTCTGGATCGAGTGTGGGGTTACTTACCTTCTTGATAATTTGGAAGTTCTCATCGCCATAGGACCATGGCTATATATCCTCTGTCAAACCGAGAATCTATATACACAGGCGGGTGCACATACTTCATTAGGGCAGTTTTTTGCCAGATATGGAGTGGGATTAGCAGGAATGTTGCACAAACGATCGCTGCGATTCGTGAATACTTGTGCGATGATTTTGAGATTACATCGAGCTTACCCATGAACGCGCATCTTCAGGAGTGGGACAGGTCACGGGATATCAAATATAAGGAGAAAGTACCAACGCACGTATGGCAGGAAGGTACCCATAGCAAGCCACCTAACGAAAAGCTGCTGTCCCTTCATACGTGTCGAGGTAGGTCTGAGCTCAGATCTGAGATACAAAACAGCTGACTCACGTATGCCGTGTCCACATCCAGCCCCGTAAAACCACCAATATCCAAGGTCCAGGAAGATATTCCGGATGCTGCGACGCTCACGCCAGCAGTGACCTGCTGGAGGAGGACATCAAATCTGGATGAAGTGTCACCGCTCCACAAATACGAGCAGAATCTCTGCCCCCCCGCGAACGTGCTGCGGGTAAGGGACATATACTGGCATCCGTTGGACGTAGGGTCCGGATCGGTGAGGTTGCGGAACCCTTCTTCGATAGCCTGCTGGTGTAACCACGGATACGCCTTCCCCGCGCCTTCTTGAGTACCAACGAAATACTGAGTGAACGCCCGGGCGAAAGGCAGAGAGTTGATGACACCGCCATCTAACCGAAGATTGTATCAGAATTGTAGCGTGCAGGAAGGAAGGCACTGCTCACTGTTCTCGAATGGCTCCCCGAGAGTTCCGCCTAATTCTCCGAGTTAGTGAAAAGATGCAGGGAACGGTTGTTATCCTTACCATCTGCCTGATCAATCCAGAAATTGTGAATACCCTTAGAGAAGTAACTGTCATTCAGACGCCTCCCTTCACGTAGGATAGAAATTGAGTATCAGTCATCAGGCGCAGCTGATAACAAGACCTACATAGGAATTCTCGCGCAGCCGGGTTCGTGCTATCGACCAGCCGGGTGTAAACTCCGGCAAACGAGTCCTGGATTCCAGGTCCGTCGCGAGTCGTTGCAAGCAAACCGTTTTCTTGCAGCGTAAGATAGTTCACTGAGAGATCTTCCACGCTAGGCCATAACGAGACCATCATCTCCGCGCCTGTCAGAGCCTTGACCTGCGCAGCCATGCCAGCAGGGTCAGGCCAGTACTCGGGATCGAACGACCTGAGTGATCGAATCCTTGGTGAGCTATCATAGACAGTCAGGGCGACATAAAAAATGTACCAGTCGCCTTGATATTTCCAGTTGAAGAAGTCTGGGAAACAGAGAATAGCTCAGGACACGCAGTAGTACGGCTGGAGAGGCCAGGTACTAACCTACAACGATGAGGGATACATTAACTTGTTCGTCATGGAATCGCTGAGCCAGGTCGATGACCTGCGTTTCGTTGTAGTACCTAAGCTTCGACTGCTGGTACCCGAGACTCCACTCTGGCGGTATTGGCTGCCTTCCTGTAGGAACGATAGGATCCCCGACGGAAAAGATGTGACGGTCAGACACTCACCAGTAACGGCAGTGTATTGTTCCTGGAGGGTGTCATAGTCGCCCGGAGATGCTGTGGTACTGCAATGGGGTGAGCAGTGTATTGAAACTAGCGACTGTGTACCACGTACATCCAGTAGTCCACGACCGTTGCCTCACTCGTGACAAACCTTGTCCTGTAAGCGCCAAACTCTACGATGCTTCATCAGTCAAGTAAGCTCAAATTCAAAGTGCAGTGATCGGACCCAGACGACCCTGGCTGGGCATGTTGAAGAACTGAAGAAAGCCCTATAGACTCCGTTAGTTATCCGAACGCAAGCCAACAAGAGTCTACCAAAGAATACCTTGCTGGACATGAACATAGGTATCGGCACTTGGGAATTGAAGTTGATTAGATCGACCACTTGGCCCTTCTTATTCACAGTATTGTCCATGCAGCACGCCTGCTGTCCCGTTCCATAGATCTGATCGTCCGGAGACGACGTGAAGGAGTACTCCGCCGCAAAGCTGGGCGATCTGAAGTCCTGGCGGTAGTACCTCGGAGGCAGCGCCTTGTCGTCTGTATATTCCGATGTGAGGAGGCTGAGGGAACCGTTCGATTCGGCTCGGTAAAAGGAGAGCACGCCATTCAATACTGTGGCTATTAGATTACCGTTCTGCAGGGTGCCGTTTCCGAGGTAGCCGATTGTTTCGGAGTAGGATAGGCCTTGGTTACCTCCTGGACCTTCGAGGGGCGGGTCGAGTAGGGCTGAGAGCTCTGTGCCGGTAGGGTCGCGCATCAAGCTTGCTCGCACACGTATACCGTTCGTCCCAAAGGGCTACGTGATTGACGAGGTAGGATAGCGGGAGTGCAGGTGAATGACATGACCATACCTGTAGATACACTCTTTCGAATCCGTTTTGTATGCGGATCCCGGTAGCGTTAGACTGAGCCCAGTCTGTACGCGTCGGATCCTGCACCGCGAGCACCCCAGGGCGGCCTCCTGGAGCGAATGCTAAGAGCCCGAGGAGGCTTAGTCTGACCAACATTGGCAGCTCAACAGGTTCGAGAGGTGAGAGTACAGATGGACGTTCCGCTACCCCCGGTCTCAACAGCTATGCGAAAGACACTTATATATACGTCCTTTCGCCCGTCCACAGGACGGACAGCTATGGTCACGGGCACTCCTTTCCAGCGTCATTCAGATTGAAACCGGCAAAGAAGACGAGCGAAGAAGCAAATACGCAAGCAGAGCGGGCCGTGAAGTGCATAATATCATTTGCAATGAAGCTCCTTTACATACGCGAGAGTCGGATGATAACGCGAGGTTCAGCCGTCCTCGACTGTCGAAATTCAGGGGTCAAAAGCACCTTTCACAGCCAGCAATACGAGGCGGTTTTTGAGAAAGCAGGCATCGACTCGAGAAGGGGAACTTCCACAACTCGCATGAGCGACGCAATAGGGATGGTCATTCGATGGTGGTCCAGGACAATCCGAGTCGAGGACATGGTAGCGAAACGCCACAAACAGGGACAAATGAATGCTGTATGTATCCCCTGCTGCAACTGTCCAGAGGGTGAAATCGTCTGACTTGTGGACGGTAGGCTCGCTGCGAACTGTGAACTGCATGAATGATTTTTTGTATCTGACTGAAAAACTTCTACGAGGCTCTCGCAAATATGAACCAGTACGAACAGCCTCGCTGAGTACCGTGTACCGTACATCCCCTACAAGCCAACTGACTTCATGCCTGCCTCGGGATACCTCGTGCCCTTGATTTCTATCCTCGAAATAACGGCCCTAATCTCTTTGCTCTCCTCGTCCGAAATCTCTACTCCCGCCGCACCGATATTTTCCTCAAGGTACTTGACCCTCTTCGTGCCCGGGATCGCTACAATATCCTCTCCCTGCTTCAAGACCCACGCGAGGCAAAGCTGACTGGCCGTGCATCCCTTCTTCTGCGCCAGCGACTGGAACTCATCGACCAGCGCAAGGTTGTGGGGGAAGTTTTCGGGCGAGAAGCGGGGGTTGAAGCGACGGAAGTCGCCTTCAGGGAAGTCGTCGGGAGAGCGGTACTTGCCAGTAAGCATGCCCCGGCCCAAAGGTGAGTACGCGACGATCGTGACGCCCAGCTCACGCGCCGTCGCCAGCAGCCCGTTCTGCTCAATATCCAGTGTCCACGGCGAGTACTCGATCTGCACGGCGGCAATGGGGTGGACCTTGTGTGCCCTCCGCAGGGTCGTGGCGGAGCACTCTGACAGACCGAGGAAGCGGACTTTCCCCTCCTTCACGAGCTTAGCCATCTCCCCCACTGTTTCCTCGATGGGCGTGTTGGGATCGACGCGGTGCTGGTAGTAAAGGTCGATTTGTTGGACACGCAGGCGCTTGAGCGACGTCTCGCACTGCTGCCGGACGTACTCTGGCTTGCCATTGATACCGAGGAACTCGCCGTTGGGCCCGCGCATGTTACCGAACTTCGTCGCCAGAAAGACTTTGGAACGCTTGGCGGGATCGGACAGCACTTTGCCCAGCAGCTCCTCTATGGTCCTTGTTAGTGTTTGGATGCTTTCCTTCATTACGCGTGAATTCATACCGTTCTTCCCCCAACCATACATGTCCGCCGTGTCCCAGTGCGTGCACCCGAGCTCGATGGCCCGTTCGAGAACGGCTATGTTCTCAGCTTCGTTGGACTCGCCGTAGAACTCGCTCATGCCCATCGCCCCGAGACCGATTGCGGGGATATTCACGCCGGTCTTTCCTAGCTCTCGCAGCGGGATTGTTGGGAAGGACATACTGTCGTTCAAGTTCGCGAGGAGACTGGTACGGCACACCCGTCCGTGTCTGTGGGGACAGCGGCTTTATAGCCTTTGCATCTGACTCGCCTCTGACGTCTACCTGTATTCTTAGGCAGATCAGGCTGAGAAAGCATGATAGATCTGCCGACATGCCTCGTCCTCCTTTCTTCCCGCGACTGCCATTGCGCGTAAGGTTACGGTTCTGCAGTATACCTAGCAGAGCCTCTCCCGTTGTCGCCCCTACTGGTTCGAACGAGTAAACCTCTCGCCCCCCTCTGTCTTGACGTCCATCATGCAGCACTGCCGCCTCTCGTGGAAGGTCGCGCCGTGCTACGTCCAGAACCGGCGGTACTGCATCAGCCCCAAACGCGGCTTCCCGGCGCAGATCAATGTACACTGTCTATATGCGCCTTAACGGTTAGATCTGTTCAAGAATGCTTCAACATCATTACGAGTCAACAAATACACAGGGCGACAGCAACCCATAGTTGCTTCCTCATCTACAGGAGTAGGTACGACCATTCGACATGGCACTGACTGCCCATGGCGGATCTCGGATCTCCAAAGCAGCCAATATTGAAGAACGAGCAGCTGAGCGTATTGCTGCTCACGTGGGCTCGGCCGTCTCACCTTCCTCAGGCCAACTGAAAGACACGCGTGGATAGTGTACTCCGACCAAACATGTTCTAGCCAGGAGGAGGTGGGTTCCTTCAGGATCCGCGGGAGGTTACGCATATGGTTGCTCGATATCAATATCGAGTGGCTGTGCCATTTCGTGGGACGAACCTACCAAACTCAACGAGTTATCGAGTGGCTGTGCCAGAGGCGCCGCAACGGCTGCTGTGGCTCTCCCCGAGAACTCGATTTGTGCCTGCCATGACAGGTGTCGGACGAGCTCCCGTACGCGAGTACAATAGGTAAAATACCTGTGTGTACTGTATACTTGAGACCATATATATGAAGGTAGATGCGGCTTGATATCCATTACCCCAAATCATACCAACAGACCTTGATGTCCATGCAGAGTTTTTATGGAGCAGTGAATGCTAAGTGTTCTGCACTCAGCAGCAGTTAGACAGTTCACAGCAGTAGATTTACAGAATTATTTTTAATGAAATATCCTCTGCGCAGTTGGCCTGACTGGGTGTCACCACATTTACAGATATCCGCAGTAATTCAGACCTTGTAAGGCGGTGTGGAGGGGGGAAAGCGTGCAAACTACAGATTCAATGCTAAACCTCTTTTGTGGAATTGTGGGGGAGTGGTGTTTGCTTTGAATGTTCGATATAAGAAGTCACTTGCCCCGGAGCACCCTAAATTGAAGAATTACAGTATTTTGGGCTTGAATTGCCTTCAGAAAATATGCATGGCCTAGCTGTAGACTTTCTCATGGTTTCAGCTGCCATTTTATAGGAGATATATCTCAGAGAACGATGGATGGGTTGAGTATTAGTATGGCCCCGGAGGGGCCGGACAAATTCGATTTTAGTAGTATTTACACTCGGATTTTACGGTAAAACATGCAATCAGTCACTCACTAGCTGCTTTGTTCCTACTTCGGGGCTCTGAGGGCGATTTGTGGAGCATAGGCCCGAGAGTAACGCAGATTTCGGTCCCAAGGGCCTCAAAGCCACAACTGCCACATGGCTCTCTGAGCCAGTCCCAATCTTTCTTTTTTCTTTTTCTTTTTATTTTATTTTATTGCAACTCTATCATTATCGAGCCGGATCCGCAGGATCCGCATAATCATTTCCCTGTTTTCTTCGATGAAGTCAACCACTGCGTTACAACCGGTGGATCCTTTCAGGATCCCGGTGATCGTTTCCCTGTTTTCTTTGATAAAGTCAACCCATACGTCTTGACTACTCATGCGAGAAGTGGGATTCGGAAAATCGTTTCCTTGTTTTCTCCGACGAAGCCGATCAATGCGCTTCGAACGCTCACGCGAATACTCTTGCGACGGCGATCTGACATAGCGTCCAGGTGATAGACGAGCTGAAGTTGCTGCAGAGGGGAGCAGGAGAAGAGTGGCTTTAGGAAGGATAGGAAATAGGGGAGACTTTGGACGCTGGCGTAGACCGTCAGAAGACGAAGCCTCGGTAGGTGACCGTAGGTCAGCTTCACCTTCAAGTGGAACGGAAGGCTAGGTAAAGATCAGTTTGTCGCTGAGTGGTTGTAAGAAGCTGGGGCGGGAGGTGCGCACATCGTCAGACCCTCCATGTCCGTTGTAGCATACGCCCAAGGAGAGCCTCCAACTGTTGCAAGCCCTGCAGCATCCGTGACAACCCGTAGAGAGAAATCCGTGTCATGCAGCCCAGTGTAAGGTGGGTTATGTTGGACAGGTCCCTTGCTGCTGGAGCCAGACCTGCAGGCACACTCTCGATAATACCGTAGGACATTAGATGTAAAATAATGTGCCATGTTATTCAACGGGAGGACGTACCATGATATCCAGCTCACGGACAGCAGGTGCCATTTTCGACCATGCTGCGACGCCTACAAAGAAGTGCTCATCGACTTCGCCAAAGGCCACACTCGTCAGGGCCGTTATGTTGCTGAGAAGTTCCAGCATAGGAATGTGAACAGCGTTCAGCCAAGTAGCGGAGTATGGGTCCAAACGGACAAAGGACAACATCGAGCAGGCAGCAAGCGCGCGCAAGGCTTCAGTGAACACGCTGTCGGCGTAAACGGACCGAAACCGAGAGTTGGAAAAAGTGGGATGTCCAACTTGTAGCATATCTTCAAGATATATGTAGTGAGAGTCGGGAGTTTGGAAAGCTCAGAGGACCGAATGAAGTCCGAGTGTACATATCCCCCTACGGAGCCGTCTTTAGGACACGGGGGTAAAGGGAAAACATATCAGAACAGACTCGGAGAATATGTTGACTTGATGACACCTAGACGCACATGGTGAACATGAACCCTAGGATGCGGGTGCGCCGCAAGCGTGTCGAGCGGTCCACGCCTACGACGGCCCCTTTCGTCGGGCCTTTCATCGATGATAATCGTCCGATAAACGTGGGTAGGCTGCCTCGTAGAAAGCTCGACAGACTACGAGTTAGCGACTTGGGTCTCCTAGGAAGGCAAAGATTGCGCGGAGGAGCTCGTAGGGCAACGTGAGTACTGGGATTTGGGCATTGTCCGAGAGCCCCCAATCCATGATGCGATCCTGCGGTCACGCAGCCTTGACGATGCCAGACGTGTGCACTCGATGCCAGCAGTCGGATCTGAGCACGATTAGGGCGAATGACAGGCAAAGAGGAGAGTACGAGAAAGCCGGAAACAGGACGCACGCCGGCACGTGTCCTGCTATATTACATGACGCGCCCTCACATAAATTCGCAGGTGGTCACCGACGGCACTCGACCAATAGTTCCGAACAAGGAGATATCACCGATGTCCCTATAACATGCGTAGTGCGAGAGAGCGGGAGTTCAGGGCATGGGTGGGTGGACGCACAGCTACAGGGAAACCTTGCGAGCGAGACATGGCTGGCGACGAAGCAAGGGGACGTGGACTGCTCGAACCGGTATCATCATTCCTATAGGGAAATGACAGAGCTAACGCACTGGGAACGGTACAAGGGAAAGCTCAGAGATTTTAAGTCTGTACCCGTACAACGAGAGCAGATCGGTCGAAACCTATCCCTGAAAGGCTATGCCAGACTTCCTCGTCTCGGCGATGCCGCCACCTGCGAAACCCGTTCCTGCAGAGTGCCGCTAAGCATGGAGTGGTCTGAGAAGAGTGGCTACTTACCTTCCCGCTTTAATTCTATGATATCCTTCTCACCCAGCTCCTTATCGCAGACCACGCATTGCTTTGAGGGCCGAATGAGGGACTCTGTACATGTTTTGCAGACGACGTGCGAGCAGGGCTTCATGACTACAAGACGAGACCTACTCAGTTCCTTACGAAAATAAGGGAGGGAACCTTCAACGCACGGAACATGATGATGCTATTCGATAGCGTCTTTTTACATGATGGGCATATCGCCTCGGCATTCTCCTCGCCTTTCGGTTTGGCGCTGTCCGATACAGTCGACGTGGATGCCGGCGTGGATGCCACAGACTGTGCAGTACTCTTCCGTTCCAAGAACGTGAATTGTACGGGGACCAGGTTCTTCAGGCTGTTTAAACACAATCAGCAGCAGCGCGGCCGTACTAGGAAAGTTAGACATACGATAAGGGATGTGCTGGCTCCCCGCCTCTACACGTCGTCTGTATCTTGATGTCTTTGAAAGAGCTCGGAAGCTCGCGGCTCGTGTACGTAGGCGTCAGCGAAGGCAACCAGAAGTCGGGGAGTTTGGCGCGCAGACGCTCCACCTGCTCGCGCTCTATCTGTCGGAGAGCAGCCTCCTCGGCTTCGCGGGTGAGCGTATCCACCGTCGATGCATCGAACTCAAACTTCCGCTTCACTCCCCGGGCTGGCGTAGGTCAAACTGTGAGTTGCGACTTAGGATAGAAGGCTGGCAACTACGTACGCTCTTTCGTGTCATCCTTCGATGATGTAGTGAGGCCGGTCAAGGACGACTTGCCCAAGCCCAACTGACCCTTCTCAAACTCCAGTAGGACCCGCTCCCGCGCAGCCTCCTTCGCCCTCTCCCTCTCCTCTTCCGCCTCGCGTTTCATCTGCTCCAGCCGCTCCTTCTGTCTCTTTATGTCTTTCTTCTGCGTCACTGCATACCCGCACAGTCCATCACCTAGGTTCTCCAATAGATGGCACTGAAAGACGTACGTAGATCCGTGTAGACGCATTCCTTGCAAAAGAGGTGCCCTTGACTGCAGGCTACGGGGTCCCGCACGCGCTGCAAGCATAGCGAGCACGCATCGAAGCGGCGCATCGATTCATTTCCTAACCGTTGCTACTCAACGTCTGTCATCTCGGCTATGCAGAGGGCGTTAAGATCGACGTACCCGTTTCGTCCCATAGTCCAGTTTCTTGTACTCCGCGTATGAGAACACGGAGGACGCGGTGTTGTTCTTGCTGTGTTTTGTCATTTTGGTGTTTCAACCTCCAACAGTCTGCGTCCCGATAGTGTATAGAAGTATGCAGGAAGGCTAGGAAGTATTACAAGCTCGACGTCGTTGTCGCAGGTTAGATGCAGCGCCGGTGGGTGGCGGAGCTCGAAGTCGATCTGACGTCGCGTCGGAAACCAGGTCCATAGCAGCTTCCATAGCCTAGCCGAGTCCTCATTCCTCAGTCCGTCGTGCTCACTGTCGTCGACGTCGGATAACAGGTCTACGTCGTCTTTTTCATCGTCTTACTTTCGTCCAGTATGGAGAATGTTTAATCATCAAGGCGCGGCGGTTGTCATCGTGTCCACCACCGCTACGGTTACTCCGCTCAAGTGCCAGCCTGTTGGTCTAAAATCAAAGCTGCTGTTTTTGATGGATTTTCGTCTGCTGGACTGGGGACTCTGTCTTGTGGGAGCCATCGTCATCTTTCCTGCGCCTGTATATGCCTGGACTTTCTTAGGGTGACGATTCGAGGCGAGCTCCGGCACGTGTGATGGGCCAGGTGAACGAAGAGTGGAATATCGCCCACTTTCGTACGCACAGGCCGCCATTCGAACGAGGCTCCTTTGCTCCCATTGATTCCTCTAGTCTCCCAAGTGTCTCTCCCAAGTCGACGCAACTCTAGCTATGAACCCAATATGAACCCATCTTTTGCATGTCTTCCCTTGGCAAGGCGAAGCTTCGGAAACACCGTCTGCAGTCTAAATATGTAACCCTCTCGGTCATTACTACACACGACCTCCCCCTCAACACGCTCACCACGAGGACGATATGCGAACACCCTGCTGGCTCGATGACGATTAAAACGTCTCTTTACAAGCATGTTAGCCGTTGACCGGACTGATCCCTGATAATCTCTAGTCATCACTCCTGTATAAAAGGCTGGCCAGTGCTTGGCCGGTATTCAAAAATTCGCCCAATTCATTCTCGGCCGTTTCACCCACCCGGCACCGCGAGCTGGAGTGCTGGGAATAGACTGGCACACCGCTCGTTCCTGGGCGCGTTGAAACATATTGTAATTTTGTCTCGCCCTCGCCGAGCGTGGTCTACTTTCCACCGTGCGGCTCGTCTTGCGTTATAAGAAACATACGGCGCTTCCTTTCATCTCAAGTTTCTGCATTCTTCGAGCGTTTGCTTGAGCGCGGCGATTATACCTCTCAGCTCCCGCTGATCGACAGGACTTCAGAGCACTAGGTGAGCAAATGTAGCTTCCCGCCCGATCGTATCCGTGCGTTCTGACAGCGGGTGTCCCTCTTAGTCCTTATACCACCCCCGACGATGAGGACCATCATATTCATTCCTGCCTTTCTTTCGCTCTTCACCATGCTCTTCCATGCGCATGCCCAACCCATAGCTCCCGCGCTGGCGATCCCATCGGGGCGTCTGCAGCGTCCACCACTCCATGCACGGAACCCGGAGCAAAGCAGTGAGGGTTCGCCAAGTCCGTCTCGACACCCCCGTCGCCGCCGCCGACCGCACCCGTAATGGGTCTCCTTCACGTCAGCTTGGGTTTATTCGGACTGTTTCATTCCTATTTCTATAGGCTTCAGTCATCGGAAGTCGCCATTTTATTTATCCCCACACGGGTCACTTGTACGCACCGTGTTTGGTTCTTCATTCCCCACCTACACATTTATAGACTACCCTGAAGGACCTTCGTCGTGTATCATTATAATGTATCCATATTTGACGATCATTGTACGTCCTGCGATATACGTACATACCCCCTTTGACGAGACAATCATAATCATTAGACACCCTCCAAGCATCCACACCGCTTCGTTCGATTATCTACCAACGACATCCGCTAGCTGAGTCTTCGGTACAGCCTCCTCGTACGCCCTTCTCATCAGCCGAGCCTGCGTCGCCTGCTCAAAAGCATACGCGTACCCCAGCAGCTTCGCCTCGCTCCACGCCGTGCCCATGAACGCGAGCCCGAAGGGTACGCCGGGCCCGTGTTTGCGGACGGGTTCTGCGGCGGCGGGTTCGAGGTCGTCCGGTTGGAATCCGAGGGGAACTATATGCAGCATGGGCCGATGGGTACACTGTACTCTTGTGGTGAAGAGATAGGATGGGGAAAGGGGGCGTACCGGTTATGAGAGGGTACCCCGCTATCGCAGGGGGCATCGAGGCGAAGCCTGTGATATTTTTTATGAGTGGAAGGTGACGCAGAAGGGTCAAGGCGGAGTGTACTTGCCGTGGGTAGGCAGGACGATCGCGTCCAGGTTATACTTCTGCAGCGTCGCGTCGATGCCCCTCGCCCGGCCGAGCTCGTAGTTCGCGTCGACCATCTTCTCGTACTTCTCGTCTGCTTCTAGGGACTGCGCTTGGATGAACCTGGGTGTTGCTCGTGAGCGGCGGGAATCAAATGATCATAAACGCAGACGCACCGCGACTGGTCGGTCCAGTACGGCGCGGGGAGCTCCTGCTCCGCGTGCTCCTCGTTGAACTTGATCAGGTCCGCGAGGTCCCTCACGCCCGTGGGGACCTCCACCAGCTCTGCGAGGTACTTGTTCAAGTCCACCTATCATCACACGAGGGTCGTCCCGAGTCCACCGAGCGCAAGGACGGGCAGCACACCTTCAGATCGACGGTCATCACATACAGCTCATCATCCCTCCCCGCCTTCACCGCCTCCGCATGCGGGAACTCCGCCGGGTCCACGACCTCCGCGCCCAGGCCCCTGATCACCTCCAGCGCCGCATCGAACGCCCTCACGATATGCGCCTGCGGCTCCGCCTCCTCGTTCGGCCGCGCGGCGAACGACCGGGGTACGCCCAGCCGCACGCCCTTCAGGGCGTCTGCGCGGAGGGCGGCGGTGTAGTCCGGCATGGGCTCGGGCTGCGCGAGGGTGTAGGTGTCCCGCGGGTCGGGCCCTGCGATCGCGCTGAGGAGGATGGCGGCGTCGGTCACGGTGCGCGTCATCGGCCCGACGCTGTCCTGGTGCGAGGATATGGGTATCACTGCAGAGCCCCGACATGATCAGTCACATCGGAGCGGGAGGTGGCAGGATTTCGGAGGAGCGCATACCACCGGCTCTGGACGTGAGCCCGACAGTGGGCTTCACGCCCACCACATTGTTCCTACTCCCCGGGCTGGTAATGCTCCCGTCCGTCTCCGTTCCCAGCGTCCCCGCCGCGAGGCCGATAGCGGCGGCGACGCCGCTGCCCGAGCTCGAGCCGGAGGGGTCGACGAGCGGGTAGTATGGGCACGTGCATTGTCCCCCGCGCCCGCTGAAGCCGGAGGGGACCTGCCCGCGGAAGTTGGCCCACTCGGACATGTTGGTTTTGCCGAGGAGGATGGCGCCTGCTGTGCGCAACTTGGCGGCGACGGCGGCGTCGCGGGGGACGACTGAGCCGAGGAGGGCGTAGGACCCTTGTGAGGAATATGGATTAGTATCGTATGGCAGTCAGCTATTTGCTTTGAGGCGTGGATTTACCTGCAGTGGTGTTCATGCCTGCGTTAGGGAACCTAACCGTGAATGCGACTTCTACGGGCAAGGGACTGCTACATACCCTCGCTGTGCAGGGTCGCTATGTTGTCCTTGAGTAAGATGGGTATACCATGAAGGGGCCCGCGAGAGCCCTTCTCTTTCCTTTCCCTGTCCAAATCCGCTGCCTGCGCTAGGGCACTCGGATTTGTCTCGATGACCGCTCGCAAGGCCGGTCCCTTCAGGTTAACCTCATCAACCCTAGCTAGGTAGGCCTGGCGACGGGATTAAGCTCGGCCACATTCCATCAGGGTATACGAGTACTCACCTTGACGAGGTCGACGCTTGTGAATCGACCGTTCGCTAGACCGTCCTGGAGCTCGGGAATCCCCGCCTCGTACAGGTCGGGATACGCATCGCCTGCATGCTGCGAGGCTGGAAGATTGGAAGAGCTCATTCCAGTGCTGGCTCAGTATGCTGCTGGAGGCCTGTCGTGAGCCGTGCAGACCCAGATAAGATAAGCCATCGACATCGGAAGGACAAGCAGATGGGAGCCTGCTGCTATCTTTGACTCTGAGCGCTGTAAGTTATATTAGCGGGTCTTAATTTCGCATGATCCTTGAGCTTCACCTTCATACGGTGCTGGTTTGGAGTTTTTAGTTTGCAAGTACCGTAGCTGCTTCCCCCGCCCGCGGGCCGGTATGCGGGCCGGATTTTACCGCGGCAGGACTCTACCAGCTCCTACCTACAGGATTCGACGGTTCCCGCTTGCTTGAAAATTTGGATCCATCATGTCGAAGGCATATTTCTTGGACGTCTTCGGGGCTCGCCTGTAATGTCTGCAAGGGACTTTCCAGACACTCCCGGAGGCGTCCAGGTTAAACTACTGGGAGTACGTAAAAGAAGCTGCGCACCTGCGTTGTGGGTCCCTGCTTGCGTCTCTGCAGACAAGTATGATTCGAGAGTCATTATTCCTGGTACGCACTTAGACTACCATTCAGACGACGCAGGCGATAACACCAATTTCAGCTCCAAAATGCTATAAGCACCCTGGTAGTCCACGGCTTAGCAAAGGATCACGAAGGACGGGCAGTACCTCTCGTGTTCACTTCCGCTCCTTCTGAAATGCAAGATGGTGTCTGTTTCCACACGACCGGACCCGGCTTGCAAGCTACATTGCCAGAGCGGCCACCATCAGCCCTGTCACCCCCAGCCGACGGCGTGCTGGACATGTCCATCGCAGACCAGCTTGGCGCAGGCCGCATCGGCTGTGTGTACGCCGTCAGTGTGTCTTACTGCTCGGTACCAGCCAAGGTTCCACCACTCGTTGTGAAAGTGACCAGCCGCGACCGCTGCGACGAACTGGCGAAGGAAGCATGGGTCTACGAAGAGCTTGATGAGTGTCTGCAGGGCGTGAGCATCCCGCGCTGCTACGGGCGCTTCCTCGCAGAGCTTCCCCCGCGAGTCGACGTGCTCTCCTGGAAGCGGCGCGGCACGACGAAGCTGCCCATATCTATCGTCCTCCTGGAACGCCTCGGAGACAAGCTTCCGCTCGGCGAGCCGATCCCGCAAAAAATCAAGGACGATCTCTGGGGCGCGGTTAGGGATATAGCGCAGATGGGTGTCCGTAACCCAGCCCTGTGCTACAACGACGTCCTATTGGCCCCGCCATCGCCACCTGGCCTTCTCCTCACTCGCGCCGCACGTATGATCTACGACTCGTAGATTTCGACAGGGCCTCCAAGCACAATATGCGGGTGGACCACTTGACGCAGATATCGGAACGTGAGGTGAACCTCGTTCTCGAGCATGTCCGCACGGGCGAGAGTCGAGTCGACGAGTAAGGCTCGCTCGGATATTACCAAATTTCGATGTTAGCATCCTCTTGACTGTTTGCTCCGTCATATGTCTCCAGTACTTAGTGGCACTGGTATGCAGTCGGATCGAGCAGTTCGATACTCCGATCAAGTGCAATGCAAGGTCTTTTATAACTCAAGGCTTGTTGCGACCCCTGCCCCGTATATGCCCCTCATTACTAGTACTTGCACCTATGACTCGCAATTACAAAACAGCTGTAATCTCGTGGTACATCCAAAGCACTGCAAAAACCCTGTTCAAAGAAAGTGGTTAAAGACCAACTGTACTCCGTATTCAGAACACGTTAAGCGTCTTCAAGTATGTCGTCTGCGTGGGCTCCTCGATGCTCGAGTGTCTCGGAGACTCGAGACCACTTAGCTACCAGGCTGCGACCGGTCCTCATGATATTGTGATAGGAGTCTAACACATCGGCGACAAGGAAAAGTTTTGTACTTGTGCACTATGACTCGGAGGGGCACGCGCATCCTGTCGTCCTTAAGCTTTCCTCTGAATCCCCACGTTCGTAAGACCGGCTGACTCGACAGCTTCAATATTGCAATATTGGCAACCTTGACAGAAGTAAGTTTTCAGCTGTTCAATGCACAGGTGGGTTGTGCATGGTGTCAGCTTCGAGCAAGGGATTCATCAACGGCCGTACATCTAAATCGGTAGTGCCCAATTACAAGCTGTCCCTGGGTCCGACTCGTTTCGTACATACCATTTCCGACGTATCGATCGACGGACGCCCCTCTGTTTTCCGACAATTCCCATTTTCAGCCTATGTCCATGCAAGCAGTGCAAGCCCCTGTCGGATGGCATACACTGCGGAACCGATGGGCGACGAGGCGAGCTTGGACGCAACCCATGACCGCTCTGCGCCCGCCCACTCCTAGGTGCGCCGTCCAGTCCTAATAGTCTCGTACGTGCCGGCTCGCTCTTGCTTTTATCCAGGCGACTCACAGGTGGGGCAAGACGGAGGACCGCTCTTACCCCACACGAAAGCCGTCGATATCACGCTCGCAATTGGCTGGCAGCGCGGGGAGGCGCACTGGTGCACGCCCCCCCGCCGTCGTCGCGCTCACTTTGAGCCAACGATGTGCCCGTGGCGGACGCAATGCTCGGAGGCTGATTGGGTTCCGTGGCGCCTTGGCCTCCGACGGAGGGCGTTCTCGTGCTTCCCCTTCCCCAGACTTCTTAAATCACCTGCCCTGATCGCCTATGACGCTCCTGCTTCTCGCAAACACAGTCCACCTCGCTTGGTTCTCTATGTCCTCTATGGTGCTGCGACATTCATATCTCGGTCACACTACCACAGAAACACTTCCAGGAGGGGCTTAAGATAGCCCTAGCGTGGATCGCGGACTGGATATGGGCTTTGGCCGGCGTCTCAAGAACACCGTGCATCAGGAAGTTCTCGTTGAACTCTGACGTGCTGGGAGGTATAATTGGCGAGGCCTTGACGGTATGTATGATTCGATTTGATATCTGCTCGCAGCGTGCTCGACAAGACGGCCTATACGAGCACGCCCTACGTTCCTTCCCCGCATTTCCTCCACTTGGCTTTAGAGGCCAATCAGACAGGCAGCTAGACCCGGTTGTAGTATAGACAAGTACAGTAGAACTCCGTGGAAGAATAATTAAAAGGTCGGGAGTCCGATCGGACAGAATGGTTTCGGCCGCTGCTCGTTACGGCTGGGCTGGTCAAAGATATTCCATGCAAGCCGTGTTTCCTAGAACGAATGGCAATGGCGGTAAATGGCAAGATCGAGAGGAGATTACCCCGCATCAGTGTTTAGCGTGTCACGCGGACGAGCGAAACGCAGGGGAGACGCTCACTACTAAAACAGCCTAAATAAACCCCAGCCATGTCCGAGTCAGCAGTCCCCTCTCCGTCTCTCCCCAACCACCACCACCATGCCTGGCACCCCTCCCCCCGCGAAAGTGAACGGAAACAGCGGCGCTAACGGCGACGTCGCTCAGGAGAACGTCGCCGACGTCCCCAAGGTCCCGATGCACCCTATCGCGCCCCGTCTCAAGCAGGGCCACAAGGTGCCCCATGTCGGCCCGCACTTCGAAGCTTACAAACGGGCGCACAAGGAGACGGTCGGCCACGAGTCGGACAAGTGGTGGGCAAAGGTGCGGAGTTTCGCTGAGGGGTTGGGTTTCACCGCAGGCTAACATGGAAGGCAGATGGCCCGCGAGACTCTTCACTGGGATCGCCCCTTCCACACTGTCAGAGCTGGCGGATTCGAGACGGGCGATATCGTCTGGTTCCCGGACGGGGGCCTGAATGCTTCCTACAACTGCGTTGACCGCTGGGCTTTCAAGCATCCCAACCACGTAAGCCCCCTATCCTTTCGCCCTGCTCGCACCGTCCACATCGACCTCGTTTCAGACTGCAATTATCTACGAGGCCGACGAGCCGGACGAGGGCTGCAACATCACCTACGCGGAGCTGCTGCGCGAGGTGTGCAGCATCGCGAACGTGCTCAAGAACCTCGGCGTGAAGAAGGGCGACACGGTGTCGATCTACCTGCCGATGACCTGGCAGTCCGTCGCGGCGTTCCTCGCGTGCGCGCGCATCGGCGCGATCCACTCGGTCGTGTTCGCCGGGTTCTCGGCCGAGTCGCTGCGCGACCGCGTGCAGGACTGCAAGAGCCGCGTGCTGATCACGACGGATGAGGGTAAGCGCGGCGGGAAGACGATCGCGACCAAGGCCATCGTCGACGCCGCGCTCAAGGAGTGCCCCGTCGTCGAGCATGTGCTGGTGCTGAAGAGGACGGGGAACCAGGTGCCGTGGACGGAGGGGCGGGATAAGTGGTGGCACGAGGAGACGGCCAAGGTGCCGAATTACTGCCCGCCGGAGGTCATGTCTGCGGAGGATCCGCTATTTATCCTCTACGTGAGTCCCGACGACGATCTTCATGCCATTGTTGTCTGATCTTCTCTGGCAGACTTCCGGCTCGACGGGCAAGCCCAAAGGCGTCGTCCATACCACTGGTGGATACCTCCTCTGTGCTGCGTTGACTGTGAAGTACGTCTTCGATGTCCACCCAGACGACCGCTTCGCTTGCATGGCAGATATCGGTTGGATCACCGGTCACACGTGAGTCTACCCGTACTTCAATTATCTCGAAAGGCGGTGATTTGACTCGTTTGCCTTTCGCAGTTACATTGTGTACGGTCCGCTTTGCAATGGTGTCTCCACCGTGGTTTTCGAGTCCACCCCCGTGTACCCGACGCCCTCCCGCTACTGGGAGACCGTCGAGAAGCACAAGCTGACGCAATTCTACTCTGCACCGACTGCGATACGTCTATTGCGCCGCCTTGGCGAGCACCACGTACAGAAGCATGATCTGAGCAGCTTGAGGGTTTTGGGCAGTGTCGGGGAGCCGATTAACCCCGAGGCATGGCATTGGTATAATGACCATGTTGGCAAAAGGGAATGTGCGATTGTGGATACGTTCTGGCAAGTGATGCTTGTATGCCATGGACCATTAGCCAGTTTTCTGACGAAGAATTCAATCACAGGCAAACGGAAACTGGGTCGATTGTTGTAACTCCGTTCCCTGGCGCTATCGAGACTAAGCCAGGCTCTGCGACCGTGCCGTTCTTCGGTATCGAACCCGCCATCTTGGACGCCACTACTGGCAAGGTGGGTTCATCTTCGTTAACGGTAATCGGAAATCCTAAAATCAGTTTTGTGGCTTGCAGGAATTAACGGGCAACAATGTCGAAGGCGTGCTCGTCCTCAAGACTCCCTGGCCTTCAATTGCCAGAACTGTTTACCAAGATCACCAGAGGTACGCGATCGCCCGATCTCTCCTGTCTCTTCCGCTCCTTTCTCACCCCGCATTCCCCGCAGATACCTGGAAACGTACATGAAGGTTCGCGCTTACCCCGCACTAAGCCGTATCCGTCCGAGTAGCTTGGCTGACGCCTGCGCATGTGATATTCCAGCCCTACCCAGGTGTCTTCTATACTGGAGACGGCGCCGCTCGTGATGAGCACGGATACATCTGGATCAAGGGTCGGGTGGATGGTGGGTGGATAATTGTCTTGGTGTCGAGCATTGTATTGGAGGTGCTGACGGGCCCTGTGATGTGGCAGATGTCATCAATGTTTCTGGGCATCGTCTCTCGACCGCCGAGATTGAGTCGGCCTTGATCATGCACAAGGGCGTTGCCGAGACTGCTGGTGCGTTTAAATTTCTTTATCGTGACAGTATTTCTTGTGACGCGGCTTACTGATATGATATGCTTTCAGTTATCGGGACGCCGGATGACCTGACCGGCCAGGCTGTGCATGCCTTTGTGACGTTGAAGCCGTAAGTGAATGATCTAACTCAGTAAGGGGTTCCGTTCTCAATACGCGCACAGGGAATTCACATACGACGAGGACGAGGCCGCGCTCGTCAAGGAACTGACCTTGCAAGTCCGGAAGGTGATCGGTCCCTTCGCCGCACCCAAGAAGATATACCTCGTCAACGACTTGCCCAAGACGAGGTCCGGAAAGGTACGGCCCATCGCTTGCTTCTGCCCGCGGCGAACTAATGGCGGGTGTAGATTATGCGGCGCATCATGCGCAAGATCGTGGCAGGCGAGGGCGACCAGCTCGGCGATCTCAGCACGGTTGCCGAGCCTGCCGTCGTCGAGGAGATCAAGAACAAGGTGGCTGAGGCTAATTCCAAGTAATCGGGGAGTAATCATGCGCGATCAGAGCAGTTAAGTTAAAGAAATGTTATAGTCATTCTGTTGGTCTTGCTTGGATCTATCTAGTCGAGCCAGCACGGGGTGTTAGGTACCCTTGTAATTGTATTGTACTTGTCTTCGATACCAGCAATGTATATGTTCGTGTCGCTCTGTTATCGCTGGCTATGGTATCGGTGTCACCTAAGAGGGCGTTCTGAACCTAGGAAAAAGCGATGTGATGCGCCCATTTCGCCTGGTCGACAGACTGCGTACCAGAAAGGGTTCGAGAGACATGTTAGTCTGAAGAAAACCTATAGGACGGGATCCACAATTTAAGTCCAGCTTCTTTTACATACGTACTCCTGAACGCCTCTGAAGTCGGCTGGAGCTGCGTCCACTTCAGACAGCACCAGACAAACTCCAGTGAACGCCTGGAAACAATAATCCAATTGTCGACTAGTACTGGGGGTTCTTGAAACATGATGTTATCTACCTGTGGACTCGAGCACTGTGGGTCTGCTTTCAAGCCTCCGGCCTATGGAAGTCGATGTTGATTGAGGTGTAGGCTCTGTAGGGTCTTCTAGCAGCTTCTACTAGTCGTTACGTAATGCCATTGTCTTTGTACAAGTACTTTCACTACAGTCATGGCGGGCGCGCATCCTGAGAGGAATACAGCTCACAGCAAGCTCTATCTTGGGTCTGTCGGAAAATCCTAGCATGGCGTCTGAACAGGGGAATGCGGCCGAGCGACCGCTGACTTTCTTCGACATAACCATTGGGGGCAGGCCTGTAGGCCGCGTTATCTTCCGCCTCTACTCGGACTTGGTACCAAAGACCGCGGAGAACTTCCGTAAGTAATATGTATTCTTGGTTGCTGAGTAAGTCTGAGGCTTTGTGTCTGCGCAAGGTGCGCTCTGTACTGGCGAAAAGGGCGTCGGCAAGTCTGGGAAGAAGCTGAGCTATGAGGGCTCGTCTTTCCACCGTGTTATTCCTAAGTAAGCGTTCAGGCATGCCAGAAGTTGCTGTGAGACTGAACGGGCGACCAGGTTCATGGTACAGGGTGGCGACTTCACTGCTGGCAACGGAACAGGAGGGGAATCCATCTATGGGGAGAAGTTCGAGGATGAGGGCTTCCCCGTGAAGCACTCGAAACCCTTCTTGCTGTCCATGGTAAGCCACTCAACCACTGCTAGCTTTCATGACAGATTTATTCAGCATTGCACAGGCGAATGCAGGACCCAATACCAACGGCTCCCAATTCTTCATCACCACCATGCCCACCCCGCACCTCGACGGCAAACACGTCGTCTTCGGCGAAGTCGTGAAGGGCAAGTCCGTCGTGCGGCAAATTGAGAATCACCCGACCAGCTCGGGCGACGTGCCCACCGAGCCCATCATCATCGCCGCGTGCGGCCAGCTGTCCCCGGACGACCCGTCGCTCACCGCGGAGCCCGTCGCGGCGGACGGCGACCCGTACGAGGACTTTCCCCAGGACGAGGAGTCGAAGGACACGGAGAACCCCGAGGTGGTGCTCCAGATCGCGAAGGACATCAAGGACCTCGGTGCGAAATTGTGGAAGGAGGGCAAGGTGGACGCTGCCCTGGCGAAATGGCAAAGTACATCCGCTCGTCTGACATAGTGAGACGAAACTGATGTTTTCTGCAGAGGCACTGCGCTACGTCGACCACAAATACTTCGACATACCAGATGACGCGCCGCCAGAGCTGAAGGACTCGTACCACATCCTCCTCTCGCCTCTCTTACTCAACATCGCGCTCGCAGCGATCAAACTGGGCGGCTCACACAACGCCACGCTTGCTATCGAGAGCACCGACCGCGCGCTCGAGCAGATGACGCTCAATGATGCGGACAAAGGTGTCTATTTCATCCTGTTACTCGTGCGTTTTCGTTGGCTAAAGTCGTTACTCGTAGCGAAAGCGCTGTATCGTCGAGCCTTGGCGCGCAGTCTCGAGAAGGACGACGAAGGCGCGGAAGCGGATCTTCTTGAGGCTACGAAGCTAGTGCCTGATGATAAAGCGATTGCCGCCGAGCTCGCGAAGGTGAAGCAGCGGCAGAAGGAGAAGAGGGATAAGGAGAAGAAGCAATTCAAGAAACTGTTCTCATAGATACTGTAATTCTACCTAATCACGTGTATCCAGGAAGCAATAGAGGAATCGTCGGCAATTTACTTCCACATACCCTCCCGCTCGTCAAGTGAGGCGATAGCAGCATGGCCTGGCGCCTGAGCTTGGGTCTGTAGAGAACGCGTTTATATTCGGGATCGGGTATGGCATGGGTAATAAATCAGCTAATGAAAAAGAGTACAAATTTCTGCTTTCCAACTGGAGAGGCAGGAGGGTATACAGATGGGTCATCACGCATTAAACTGGGCGCAAAGATGGAGGCTGGATCATAATGAGCGCAAGCTGACGCTGAGTTGGTGAGAATGACCACCGACCTAGTATGTGAGCTTTGCTTGGTGGAGTGGGAGAAGTTTCTTCAGTCTTGTCATCGGATTGCTGGCAAACGAAATGCAGGAAGGCCGTGAATGATATCCAGACCTATGCCGAGCAAGGGTGAGTCGAATGTCGCCGTTATTGGCTGGCGAACATCTTACATTGACAGATTCGCTTGGGAACTCGTTCAAGACCTGCATCCGGATTTATTCCGTTCGCCCGTACTCACGAGCTGCGAATGAACCCTTACCTCGAAAGCTTCGTCGCGATCCACGACTTGCAAGCATTTGGAGTGCAACTGGCTCGGGACTACAGGCTCGACCAGGGAATCTAAGAACCGCACCATAGTCTCTCCGAAGGCAATCTTGATTGTGCGGTCATATTGCCCATCGGTTCCAGGCTTGAAAGGAAACTCTGAACCCGTGTCAAGAGACTATCCCATCCGTAAGTTCTCCGTACAAAGAGGTAGTAGACACCGATCACCTCCCGGATGCTCGTAACTAATTCTTCATCAGCGGCAGTAAGAAAGAGATCTCGCTGCGACATGCATCAACGACACTTCAAGCTGAGGAAGACAAGTCACATACAGTATCAGTGGCATGAGTCATCAGCCAGTTAATCAGTCTCATGATTTCCCGGGGCGCATTGGCAGCCTGAGTCTGAGGTAGGAGCTGATCAGCTTTGTTAAGTTCCCGCACTGGTCCTGGCAGCCTGACTAGGTCTGATAAAGTCGTGGCGAAGCATGTCGGCTCTGGGGGCACGATAAAAGAGACAGGGAAGGGTTAATCGTCTGGCTTTACACTGTACATGAAACTCACGATAGTCTCCGTGGACAGTAATGAAGTGATCTTTGCCGAACAATGTATGCATAATCAGGGTGCAATCGAGCCGAGCGTGTCGCATATTCAGGGGAGGCGCCGACTGTTTATCGATGCAGATAGTCAATGAAATGTTGCTCCCTTCGCCAGGAAGCAATAGTCCCTGGACCAGATATCATTTCAATGTTAACGACTTCGAAGTGAGAAGGGGGACGGACCGTCATGGGCTCAATCTTCAGCCACTCTGGATCTGCAAGGCTACGCACTCAGTACCCCAGGTACGTTGTTAGCCGCTTCGACCTACGTATGCAACCGTCCGACTCGAGAGGCACAAAGCGATAGGCACAAGGTCTCTGAAGAGCAGTGAGTGGAGCCTGTCGTATCACCACAGTACGACGCACCTGGCCGGTATTCTGCAAACAGATGACCTTTGTGCTCTCCTTCTCGTATCTGAACCGTTGCCTCTCAATGAAATTACGCGTCCAGAGAACAATCCGTACGTACGATACCACGCCGAAATCCAATAACGTCTGGTCAAGCTTGACTTTGGGCGGCTGTTCACTTTCCTCCATATCACCCACTTTGTGGTAACATGTCTTGACAGCTGCATTGAACTGTACATTGTCCACAAGAGGTACCTAAGATGCGACAATGAACACAACACCTGCGGCATTCAGGTGTACTGCATACCTCCAGAAGAAAGTCGGCGGAGACCGGCCTGTGGTCACTGAATGTAATCCCGCGATGACCCGCATACGACTCTTGACGAACGACTGTCCTCGGAGAAGCCATGTACAATATGCGGTCTGTCCAGGCCGGCTTACGCCTGACATAGACCCAGGTGAGACCCGAACTAGACATGATGGGAACTTGTACCGCTCACTTCATGTCATACCCAAGGTCATCGGCGAGCAGGCCTGCACTGAAGCGATACGTCCTGTATAACGGTGTTTAACATCAATTTCGCATAAGAAGAGAGTTTATGGTGAACGCACGGCAAGCGAGTAATCTCATGTTCCGTGAAACCTTGGAAGGATTTACCAGTTCGCATACTATATCTGAGCTACTTCCATTGTTATACAAAACTACCGCAAATGAGCTCCGATTCGACACTGACTTGGTCGAAAGCCAGCAAACTTTCTATGTTTCGATCTTTGGGCTCTGATTTCAGCAAAGTGCGAATGTCACTGTCCGATAGATCTATCCTGTAGTTCAGGTCTTATAATCCCCTAATCAGCGGATCACCGGTGCAGTAGAATTGGTCACAATGACTTACCGCCCTGACGATTGTCGTGCTGTGTTAGCGGGGGCTCACACAATACCACATAACCGTCGACTTACCATCCAGAACAACACATCACTATCATATATTGTGGTAGGTAGATTATTCACGAGCGAAGCATCTGAGGATAGAGGGACCACGTCGAAGACGAGTCGTTTAGACAAGTCGTGGAAATCAGCATTGCGCCTTTCCATCATCTCGTCGAATGCTGCGAGATGAGCGTCGACGAACGTCACGGTTATAGCACGCGATGGCGAGGCTTCTGGGCTTGCCCGAGGTTCGTATGTTACTCTGATAGCTGTTCCGCCTTTGTTACCCTACGCAATGGTTTCATCAGTCGAGGTGCAGCGTCTACGTGAGTTCAGACGGCCGCGCATACCATGATTCCTAGTATACCCGCCCCGACGGCGCATACTTTCACGTCCCGAAAACTGTCCTTCAAGCGTGTCTTGCATATGACAATAAGAAGCATCCCGACAAGCTGCTTGGATGCGAGCTAGAATGTTGTCATATGACAGGGTAATTATTACTGAGCGGATATATGAGAACCCTAGCTACCTTGTGATATAGAGCGCCTTTCTCTCCCAGACTGGCGAGAATGGCTGTTGTCCAAGCGTCCACCCTACTTGTCTTGGACGAGTAAAGCAGCGCTTCCGTTGACAGGTCGAGCTCCTGGAACCCGAAAACAAGCAGGTCCGGATCAGTTTCGCTCTCCTCCACACTCGCCTCCTCTGCTCGACGGCTGTCCTTCTCTCCATTGACTCTGTCTGTAGTAGAGTCGGTAGATACAGAAGTCACGACTGTGGTCGAGGCACTAGAAGTTGTTTCGACCGTGGTCCTAGACTCATCGTCCGATTCGACGGATTGCACCTCGAATGACGTAGTAGATTGTCTCTCTGGAGATCCCAGTCGGAAGACATAGTTCAATGCGATCTTAGAATTGCATGATGTAAACGGTAGAAAAGTGCCTACCGGACTCGTCTGGCCATACCGGCTCAGAGTTCTTGCTTACCTCGCCCAGGTCGAGAGGCGAGACGGGTTTCAGAGGTGGCAATGTGTTCAGCGGACTGTCGCTGTTCGATACACCTCTCACCCATGGGGACAAATCCTGTGAAGGCAACTTCCCATTCACGTTGAAAGTGCCGATGCGAAGTCTGGGCCATGGAGGCGTGTCAAGTTCCTGTGATTTCCGAGACAGCGACTGCAAGCACCTTAGACGGGTCTGCTGGACGTGTTTATCCTTTGAACACAGTTCTTCGGCTTTCCTGAGAATCCACTCCTCACGAACAAGTTCCACATCGGCCACATCGTCACCGGGAAGACCGGCGCTTGCAGGAGAGAGCCGCGTATGCAACGGTCTGTTTATTATACGCAGATCGGGGGGTATCGTCGACACTAAGAAGATTAGGTGTAATGGAGTCCCGGTTGTTATGCGCTGTTACGCACATAGTGAAACAGGGACGTGTTTGGTGGTATAATACTGTACCCAAGAATAAGTGTTCGGGGCAGTCGATGCCTCGCGCTGTTCTGTAGGGTACGTACAGTCAGCAGGAGTTTCTGGCACCCATAACATCTTCCCGAGATAGCAATGAGTAGCAAGCGTACCTGCCTCAGCCTTCAACCGTTTACACTCTCCGAGAAGTGCTTTTAGGCCTTGGATGTCGTGGGTTATCAAAGTCAGGGGCTCCTTCCCATCACCGGCAGTTACACTCAAGGAGAATTCTACGCGAACGAAAGTCGCGTTAATAGGGCAATTGAGGCGCCGGCATGTTAGCTACATATGCCTGACCTGTTCTAGATTGGCTTAGAGCCGAGTGGGACTCGGAAGGCCGCAGGTCGATGGTACTATGGCGGGTCTGAGCCATCGCTAGAGAGAAAGTCCTATTGATAGGCAAAGCCTGCTGCACTGTCAAGTCCCCCTTCAAGAACAGGCCCGACTTGAACTTGTATATTAATAAACTACAGATAAATACAAGGGTGTCAGCCTTCTAGATCACTGGTATGTGCAGACAATAAAAGTACAGGAATAGATAGCTATTCGAAGTTGACAGTACCGTGGCCATATGCACGAGGAAAAGACTAACCATCCTTGCTCGTAACCCTCCTCTTCGTCACGATGCGACACCACCGCCAAGAGCCTCCGCTTCACTAGTGCCTCTGAGACCGAGTTTGAATAGTCATCGCCCGAAGCTTCCTGAATTCGATCCGTTTGAGTTTGCAAGACATTCTTGAGCTCTTCCGTAGGCCGTAAAAGAGGGCGAACAGCGTCCTCTAGTTCCTGGACCTGCGACATATGAGTCTCATCTCAAGGGTTCCAACGTATGAACTCCTGCTGCCAAAACTTGAACGCGCAAGAAGACAAATCACAGTTACGCCGACAAGTCCAGAGTTTTACAGATGAAGTCAAGAAAAGAGAATCAGTGTGTCTCGACCGTGTGCCTGTTGGGTGACATCGACGGTCACTGCGTCCAGTCGGTACCACGACTGCCACCGTCGCTTCCAATGCACCTGCAGCAGTCACCGGTAAGCCCACGAGTCTGACGAGATGAACACATCGCGGCTTAGACCTAACGGATTTCGAGCTTCGTCGCGAGCTCGAGCTGAGCGCAATACACATTGAAGCGGACTCTTTCACCGGAATTGACTCTCCTGCAGCGCTCGTGCATGGAACACTTACATGCACTTCTCATGACAAGTTTGTGGACCGTATATGGGGTACAGAAGCCCGGGGCCAGCTTATTGTAGGTCGGAAAGAATAATAACTGTTTGTAGGATGCCCGCAAATGCTTCAAATTTCGTGGACGAAGGATTCAAGATACCCTTCTGGAACGCTAGATATTATACCATATAACAAGTAATATGCCTCAAGAGTCTTCTCTGGTATGCAGATGCGCCAGCACTTGTGCTTGACGATAAGGCTGAGGTAACGACTCCGAATCTCTAGGCGCAAAATGCTATAAGCATTGCAAGATCGCCGTAGACCTGTACTTGTTATAATCTTTCTTTCAGCATAAACGCCATGCGACGTATCAGTCACCACTAAGTAGCGTCTGTGAGTCTACAAATGCGCTGCTTCAAGCCCGCAGGACCAGGAACTGTTCCGGCACCTCCGGACTTTCGTAACGCGCTAGACGATTCTCGACTCTAAGTTCGCCGTTACCTCCTCTCACCACCTCGCGCTCGACCTACCAGGGCCCGTCGAATGATATGTGAGCATCCATACAGGCAGCAAGGAGGAGGTTGGCGCCGGGACTGACCTGCCACACCCGAGTATTGCAACCAAATTGCATGACAGACGAGCCGCTGCACTCGGACAGGATAGACTGCACGTCTGCCTGGATCTGAAGGAGGTTCACGCCGGTCCCTGCGTCCAGAGGGAAGTTGACATGTACTGAACGAAGCTTCCGTGCTTTCGCTAGGACGGGGGCAAGTAGTTGCTGTACACGTGGATCCATCAGCAGCAATCCGATACCTAAGATTGTCATTCCGCACCATTTCGGATCTCCTCATCACAATGAATAGCTGCTCTAGCTTAGGACATCTACTGCAGATATTGTCCACCGCGTTGAGGGTAACTCGCATTCGGTGGACAGAGAAACGCTTCAGACGCGGTCCATGGGTGGAAACCAAACTGAAGCAAAAGTCATCGGGAAGAACAGACACGTCCTCTCCACCTGGAGAATAGACCTGGAACAGCTCCAAGGGGACTTCTCGCAGGAGATTCAGGACATTCTCTGTCCACGTGTTCAAAGGCCGCTGGACGGTCATAGTGAGAGAACTTAAGCCAGAGAGTGTGCTTAAAGCCTGATGAGACGAGGCGAATTTCGCTACGTCCTGGATATTCAAATCCTCAGCTCAGTCCTTTACGTTGACTTGAGCAAACGTACAAGGTTGGGAGACAAGCCTTCCAAACCAAGGCCTCGCATAGTGCCACGATTTGCGGAGAGGACAGCAAGGATCCCCGAGTGGGTTACCTTAGGACATCCGAGCAGCGAGAGGTGCTCCAGGTGCGGAAGGTTGGGTGCCAGAATCTCCAGAAGCGAGTCTGTGACAAGAGGAGAGGCCTGGAAAGGCTGTTCAATACATCAATCTACGCTAGAAAGTAGTGAATCACCTTGCATATGATAGAGAGATACTGGAGAGCTGGCCCGGTCTCCCTGATCCACCGAGGGAGTTGTGCTATGACTAACCAGCTGGGCATGATGAGGGTGATCTTGTTGAGTCTAGTGAAGCGACAGAGTACTTCTGGGTCGTATTGGCCATCGTGGTGACCGTTGATCTCAAGCTCCTTGAGCTTATGGCAGTGGAGAAGAGCCTCAAAGATTGCGTTGTCCAACGAGCCGTCCCTGGTCCAAGTACAGTGTCTCAGATTCACGCAGTTCTTCAGTCCATGGGTGCAAGTGGACCATGTTGTTTCTAACTTGTCCGTCGAGAGAGCCTTGGGAAAATCCTTAATGACTACTTTGATGTTCATTACGCACACAATAGTGTCGAGGCGTGAACTCACCGAGTTTCTGCACGTATCTCGCAAGGTCCGCGTTATCGCGAAGTGTCGTAAATAACTGGACTACCTACCATGTCTGAGATTCTATGTACCACAAAGCTTTCATAAGTTCCTACCCTGGTCTTGGCCTCATTATGCCATGGATAAATGTGGACACTTTCATATAGTTGGGAGACCGCAAGGTCGCGGAAAGTGCTGTTTACAAGACAGAGTGTAGCAAGATGGGAGGGTTTGACAATAAATTGAAAGACGATGGGAAGTAATTCAATTGGTATGTCGGCGAAGGAGGACAACTGCATCAGGATTCAGAATGCTGCTGAACGCAACAAGAACACACACAAAGTCCAAATGCGGGGCACACATCCGGCGCCGGGTTTCCGCGCGCCACGGTCCCACGCCAATCCCACGCCTTTCGATTTCTTGCCCCATTGCTGCCACAACACTCCAAAGACGCACTTAACGCGTCTACCTGCGGAACATGGACCCGTCCTACCCTTACTTATCCTAGTAAGTGTCGGGCGTTTCGACCAAGGCAACTTGAAAGATTATTGATGAACATTCGCTGTCGCGTGTGGCTCACTGGCTCGCTCACTGATATTCGCTCTATAAGGCTTTCTTCACGCAAAACCTCTTTTAGCTGTAGCAGTACTGCTGCAAGTACTATATTTTTGCCCTATTTTGCCAGCGCGTCAAGAGGGCAAAGGCGCATCGATAATGCTTCACGATGTTCTGCTCACCATGGCTTCATGACGGTATGTGGCCTGGAAGCTCTATTAATTTTACGTTTCCCTGTCTCACTAATATTATAAGCGCGATGACAACGGCTGATGCGCTGACGGAAATCGGCTTCTGAGTGGCGGGTGCCTGAACGCGTACGACGCTTTGCCACAATCAAGCGTGACACCATGTCAAAGCGGCATGTACTGTGGGTGGGTGGCACCCTGGAAGAGACATAAAGGTCGCCCAGTCTTAGGCTTCTACACTCTAAGTCTCTACTCCTGCTGGTCGTTTCCAGTCACTCGCCCTCATCGACCAAAATGTACTCTGGTGTACAACTTATGCTCACCAACCTTCCCAAGCTGAGGGTGGCGGTTAACCCCCCAGCGGCGGATAGCCCTACCAGAAGCCTGACAACTGACAGTATACGACATTCGGGCTTGCTGGCGACCGCTCCGACGTCTTTCAGCGAGCTTTTCGACGGAAGACTTTCCCTGTCCGATATCAAGGACAATCTCAAGGTGTCACCAGAGTGAGTGGCGATCTTTTCATGGGCTCACCGCATGTCACCTAAACCCTTTGTTAGAGTGCCTTGGTTGAATCAGGTTTTCCAGCGTTGGCTGCCGAGCGATCCTGAAAAACCCGTAATGCCATTGGCCAGAACCCTCCCAGCACCTTGGATTCAACAACGAACATGCGATTCTTCTGGATTTGTGGGCTCGCTCTCCGATGTGGGAGGGGACAAGGATCTGATGTCCCCTTCGGGACTTCGGTCTCCTGGCTCTACTCAGAGTGGTCCTTCCGAGACTTCGTCTAGGGAGAGTATTCCTTCCATCGTTCGGCCCACGCACATGCTCGTCTTCTCTTCCTCCATTCCGTGGCTCCCGGAACTATGCCCGCCAGAGAAAATGCCTGCATGTGGCGAATGCGCGGTCAACATCCTCCTGCTCCTCATCAACTGTCCCAACGTGGGACCTCTGTCTCGAGTGCCCCCGCCAGTCCCCGGCAAGCTGCCACGAGTCGTACTGAAGCTGCGAAGTGTGGACGTCTTTCCTGAATTTCTGCGGTACCTCCATCACAAGAACCACGCGGCACTATTCAAAGAACTGATTCCGGAGTGGATACGCGATATCCTACGTTCATACCCCAATCTGCACAAGACGCCCAGAGCAGAGGAACTTGGTTCACGTGGGGATGGACTACTTAAGGCCACTGCCCTGAAGTTGCTTCGAAAAGCTAGCCGGTCGACTATGTCTGCCACTGCGAAGAATAGAGAGGAGTTTTTAAACCCGGCGTCGATGGAGCGTTCCGTAGTGGATGATCTAGTCAATGAGGAGCGCCGTCTTACGAATACCTATCCGTCCGACGGGGAATTTCCAGAGACTATCGAAAAGGCCGCGGCTAACTTGCGCGCCTTGAAGGACAACATCGAGGAACTCGGTTATCGCGACGACGCCCTTGAGGGTGAACTGGTAGCATGTCTCCGCTTCATATCTGCTGCGTATCTCAAAAAGTCGAAGGTGTCGATGTGAACTTCTTGCCCTTGTGAATGTTCGCATTTTATGTCTAATGACTGGAATGATTCATCTGCTCTGTGTTGTCTCGTGAACGTACCTCAAGCTGTCCTTGTGCGCCACAGTGCGCGTCGTCCTCGGCCCGCTTTCTCCACTAATGCACCGACTCTTGTAACCACTGTAGAAGTACTTCGAATCCTTATCATTTTGTGTTGCATCCCGTAGCCTGTACTCTTAGTCCTGCTTGACTACACTTCGGGAGTTACACTCTTTTGGGCCTAGCAAAAGATTGTATGGTAGGGATATATGAAAGATTGGCTTTTTTAAATGATTTTGGGGCTCACAAAAGATAATCTTTATTGAGAATTTCGAAGCTCGTAATATATATTTTCAGCAGTATTATCTTTGTTGATACATTATAATTGAATCTTTTAGATTCCCTTTTGACACTGGAGGATTTGTAATCTTTAGGGTTGGGCAGAAGGTTGTATGAAAGGGAATTCCACAGGCTCTGATTGGCTGGGAATTCCCTTTCATACAACCTTCTGCCCAACCCTAAAGATTACAAATCCTCCAGTGTCAAAAGGGAATCTAAAAGATTTAATTATAATGTATCAACAAAGATAATACTGCTGAAAATATATATTACAAGCTTTGAAATTCTTAATAAAGATTATCTTTTGTGAGCCCCACAATCATTTACAAAAGCCAATCTTTCATATATCCCTACCATACAATCTTTTGCTAGGCCCAAGAGTCTAACTCCCGAAGTGCTATTCCCGCTACCTTGGGGAGCGGGTCTTGCGACCAAGTGTGTTCGCACTTTCTCCGCCATTTTTGCAAGATCGGTCAAAGATCTGACCTGCCCTCAACAAACTATGTAATATCTTTCACATCCAGACGCTTTTGGTGAATTGGCACTCCGAATGGTTGGATCCGAGGCGATGTGGCTGATAATAGGACCCTCGAAAATACCGATAGACACTGCAGGAGTTGCAGTCGTTAGGGGGGGGGTGCAAAACATTGTATGAAGGGGAATTTTGCGAGCTCTGATTGGCTGGGAATTCCCTTTCCTACAATCTTTTGCACGGCCCTAAAGACTGCAACTCCCGAGGTGAGATGCAGGTGCAACAGAAAAGGTGGGTTTGAGCAGGGGATGCCGGACGGTGTCTGGACACCGATGAAGGTCAATGTCAGTAATGCCGGTGATTGTCCGGACACGGGAGGCCAGCTGCCACCCCGGGCACGTGAGTCTTGCACCGGCA